CAAAGGTGTGCAGCTTCTAAATCATGGCAGAATATTGGAATCATCTGGGCAGATTAAAAAATGCTTTTTGTCCACTGGGGAAAGAAACCAATAGACATATGAATTATCATATGGTTCATTTTTATAGAGGTGTGTAATTTTTTTTAACCATAACTATCTAATTAGCTAAAAATAAACATTGGTACTGTTATAATGATGTTATTAAATCAAGAAGTATGAAGAACGTTTCAAGGACAATTGATTTATTTCTGGAACAAGAGAGACAGTAAGGAAAAAGCTGTGACTGGCAGTGAGATAAAGAGCTGAATTCTATGAGGATGTGCTGGCTTTTCTCTTTTTCTACAGCACCTATTTTAGATTATGATACGTAATACCTACTAGCATAAAGCATTGGTTCCTCAAGAAAGTCATGTGAAAATATGGAGAACCTTTATAATCAATAAGCCTTGGCTTAAGTAATTATCTATAGAAATAGTCAACTTTTGTCCAGCTGGTGTGGCTCAGTGATTGAGTGTCAATCTATGAACCAAGAGGTCATGGTTCAATTTCTGGTCAGGGCACATGCCTGTGTTGTAGGATCAATCCCAGTGTGGGGGATACAAGAAGCAGCTAATCAGTGATTCTCTCTCAGCATTGATATTTCTAGTTCTCTCTCCTCCTCCCTTTCTATTTTTTTTAAAGAAATATATAATTTTTAATAAAATACAGCTTATTATTTTCATTTGTACATTTTTTAAAAAACAGAGGTAAGTGCAAAGAAATATAATTATACTTGTCCCTTAAAATACCTATTAAAATGTTCAATGCACATATTCTTTGACCTACCAGGTCCACATCTAGAAATCTACCCACTATAAGCTGATGGAAGTGCACAAAAACAAGTTTGTTGCAGTATTGTTTATGACAGCAAAAAAAAAATAAAGATAATCTAAATTTCCATTAGACAGAATTATTTAAATGAACTATTGTTCACTCCTGTAATGAAATATTATGTCATCACTGAAAAAAAAAAGAGAGATATCTATATAGAAAGATGTTGAGATTGCCTTAAGAAAAAAAAATGAAGTGGCAGAACAGTGTGCATAGTGTACATCTATCTATGTTTAATACACATTTATTTAAATGTGCACAGACTATTCCTGACCATGCACAAAATCTGTCAAAAATGTTTACCTTTAGCCAAAACTGGTTTGGCTCTGTGGATAGAGTGTCAGCCCCAGGACTGAAAGGTCCTGGGTTCGCTTCCGGTCAAGGACATGTACCTTGGTTGTGGGCACATCCCCAGTAGGGTGTACAGGAGGCAGCTGATTGATGATTCTCTCTCATCGATGTTTCGAACTCTCTATCCCTCTCTCTTACTCCCTTAAAAAAATCAATAAAATATATTTTTTAAAAAATAAATGTTTCCCTTTAAGGAAGCAACTGCAGCCTGGGCAATGTGTACGAAGGGGATATTTTTAATTCTTCTGTACCACATACCTACTGAATCCTTAGTTTTTTTTCTATAAGTATTTAATGTTTTCTGAATAATGGATATTTTTTTAAAATAAAAAATATTAAATTTATTTTAATAACTTTTAAATATATTTATATAATTAAAGAAGCCTTTAAACATTAAAGCCTTTATTGCGCACTAAAAAATTCTTAGGCATTTTAAAGTGGGGGAGGGGGGACAGCTCTATTACTTTCATTCTTAATTTAAATAATTATCGACTTACGGTGAATGATCCCTGAAAAAGATCACAACACAAAAATTAATTTCCACCGTTGTTTAAAAAAATTACATAGACCACAAATTACATATATAGGAGAGCCTCAAAAGTGGTGATATAATGTCCCAAATTGAGGCGATGTCCCTCCCCCCACCCCCTCGATGTTTATGCCTCTTTTCAAGTGTCATGGAAACATTCGATAATGAAGTAACCATATTGATCTCTTCACTTCATGTGCAGCGTTAGGCTTTTGGGCAGATGGGTACTGAGCATATGCTGTTTTTGGATTGACTCCTGTTTTTCATAACCAGAAATTAGTGAAAGATGGCTTTCCATGATCTAACCATCTATGTAACCATAAGATAATGGAATATGGTTTTAAAACATGAGTTTTTCATCTCTTTTCTGATTTACTATAACATGTTTCCAGGGTTGGTATTTTAAGGAAAACTTCTGTGATTTATAAAACATTTCTTACATGTCTTTGTCTCCCCACATACAGTGACTTGTCAACTTCCATCGTTCCCTAATCGGATACATAATTCTGTGATTGTCTTCTTTTTTTCTATTTCTCTTTGTTTCTGCCATCTTCATATTTACTGTTAGTGTTAAACCTACCCTTTTAGATAAGAATCTCTGTTCAGTTCACCTCGTTGATGGTAGGTAGGCCTTTTGTGTTTGGCTAATAGATAGCTAGAGTGTTAATTTCTGATCCAATCAGATATGTCCTGAAAGTGAAGGGTTTTTTTTTGTTGTTGTTGTTTTTTTGAAACATAAACACCTCTCATTCCAATAGAATCTGATCCTATGGACAATTCTTAGTATAGCAGACCCAACAGAAGATGTTTATAATTCTATTAAATTTATCCCCAGCCCCGCTCAAAAAATAAACTTTAAAAGAATCAGTATAAAGGAAAGCTTAGATTTACACTACATAACCACAGGTTTTATGTCCAACTCATCAGTAGTGTAGAGACAATGACTCTGGCCTTGAATTCACAGGTTTACACAAAGTTTGCATCCCTATTTAGCAACTTCCCATGCGGCCAGCCTTGGCTCACTGAGATTGTTATCTAGACTAGAGATAACAATATTGTAGGATTGATATGAGCATTCAAAGTGATTGTGTATGTAAATTGACCAGGACAATAGCTGACACCAAGTAATTCTAATAGCAGCAAACCTTTATTGAGTGTGTATTGAGTAACAAGCCATTATTGTAAGTGTCTTATGATTATTAGCTCTCTAAACATCTGAACAACCCTATAGGAGTATTACTGTTTGACAGATGACACCGGCAGGTCCTGGCATTTGTTTGAGATTACACAGCTCACACTGTTAACAGCTACGCCAAACCAACCCTACCTAGGAAGTCAGTGCCCAGGTTTGTTTCTATCCTGACATCTGTGGCCTTCTGAGTTCCACCCCTGTCAGACCCACATGTTAAGTACCACCCTATTTTATCCTCCATCAAATCCAACCACAATCCTGGTCCATCATGCTCAATGGCTTCCTTGGGAATTGGGGTGTCCCAGGGTCAGGGATTGCACAGTGAATCATTTTATTTGCTCTCTATCCTCTCATCACTACTGAGGTTCACTCTGTCCTATGGTATTATCTCTGCAGAAGCAGGAGTCGCAGGCCAGGCTGCCTGCCTTGGAATTCCAGAGAAGAAAATGTCTTTAGCCTTGTGATAGCATGTCTTCCTGTCCTCTCCCCTCCACTTGTCCAGCTCGGAATAGTTTAAGTGGGATTAGTCCTTAAGCCAGACTGGGAAATAGGTAACATTTGCTTCTTTAAACCACCCATTCTATTAATCTGCCCTTTTTCAGTCTTTCATGTCTCAACGCGTCAGTTTAATTAAAAGTTTACAGCTTCTGAAGAAACAGGAGGTGGGTGGGGAGGATAGGAACGGTCATTTAGAACAAGGCTTCGCAGACTTGAATGTAAATATGAATCAGCCACATAGGGACCTTGTTAACATGCCGATGGTGATACAGTAGAGCAAGAGTGGGCCTGAGAGTCTGCATTTCTCACAAGCTCCCAAGGATGTCAATGCTACCGATTTGTGGGGGGCCGTTCTCTGTTTTCCATGGCCTGCACGGAAAACGACAGGTTCCTGAGTGCAGGAGCTGGGGATTAAGAAATTAAAGGGAAAAAAAAGAGAGACCAAGACACAGAAATAGATTTAAGCTGGGACCCAGGTGGGGGGGCTGCCTTTCTGATGGAGAGACAGTCAACAGACAACACAGAGCATTTATTTATTTCCAAAGGGGGGTTTAAGGTCAAAGAAGTTTTGGGTGTGTTCAGGTCCTATTCATTCCCTCATTCCTGGGATTTAGCATATCAAGACCTGGGTAAGTCAAGGTCCTAGGCCTTGAGTTCAGCTGATGATAATTAAAGGTCATCCATGTGCATTCCCAATGGGCCCTCGACCACACAATGAGCAAGTATTTACAAACTGAGGCACCACCCAGAGCTGGCAGAGGATTTACCCTGTGAGGTTTTCCAGGAACATTTCATCCGAGGAAATGAGTCTCTCTGTGGCAGTTAGTTCCTGTAACTGGCTGCTAGAAGAAGCTGCTCCATTTCAAACCCTACCCTAGACTGCTTACCAGCAGAGCTATTCCTGGTTGGAGAAAAGAATAGTATAAACTTGTCAAGTCTTGATAGAAACAATGTAAAATTAGGCATCCTCCTCCGCCAGTTTAATTTAGTGATTCTCAAATGATTTTTATGCCTTTTTACTGAGCTTTATGTGAAAGTGTTCACTTGCTGCTGCTCAGGATGGGGGAAATCGATGACTAACTTATTCTGGTGCAAGAGCCACAAGAGTATTTTAGTATCTGCTTTTAAAAAATATTTTTATTGATTTATTACAGAGAGGAAGGGAGAGGGATAGAGTGTTAGAAACATCTATGAGAGAGAAATATCAATCAGCCGCCTCCTGCACACCCCCCACTGGGAATGTGCCCGAAACCAAGGCACATGCCCTTGACCGGAATCAAACCCGGGACCCCTCAGTCTGCAGGCCGACGCTCTATCCACTGAGCCAAACCGGTTTCGGCAGTATCTGCTTCTTGTTCCTTTGATCATCACATTTGGAGTCTGCTCACTGGGAGCGTTTGTGACTAATTTGGATAGAAATGGTGTGACGACACTGATGTGCATAATGAAATCTTGTGCAGAGCCTTACACATGAGAGCGCAGCGTGGCAGAAACCTGTGTAGGGACGGCGGACTCTTCTTGTGCAGGCACAGGCTCACATCCTCTGTTTCTGTCTTCCAGGGAGGAGAGCACTGCTACTACCAGGGCCAGATCCGAGGAAACCCCGCCTCATTTGTGGCATTGTCAACATGCCATGGACTTCAGTAAGTGTCCAAATTCCTGTGTGTGCTCCCCGTGTGTTCAATCACTTATTTTCTTTATTATTTAAGGTGCTGTAATCAAAATCCCTATTTCATGTGAAGAAATTGTTTGAAATCAGGAATGGAACTGATCTATTCTGTGGTCTATAAGCCAAACATATTTTAAAATTAGAGTTGCAGAAACCTGGCGCTTTGGAATTATAATATGATACCTTACAGAGACGTTTAAAGCATTTTTCTAATTCCGTCCAAGTTGAGCCACAAGCGGTTTGGGTAATTTGGGTCTCTGTTCCTGTGGATGTTTCGACTCTGGGTACCGGCTCTGCTTTCGCTTATCCTTGGTGTCAGTTTTTATATTTTTGTAGAATAATAGACATTTCAGTAGATGGAAACTCTCGACTCCTTGAGCAAAGAGGAAAGGCTGCAAGCGACCTCAAGAGCTCACGTGTTTCAGCTTTGTTTTTGTTCCAGCGAAAATCCCACATCACTCTGCACGCCGGTGGGAGGCTCTGCCTGTTGTTAGAAATCTCCAAGGATCGGAGTTCATCCTTCCTCGGGGCCTTGCTTCCTTTCTCATAAAGCTCATTATCAAAGAATGTCTGCCAATGATTCGCATGGGAATACATCTACTTCCTCTGTCCTGTCGGTGATGGTGTGCACAGGTGGCCATCTGTCATTTGTTTGTAACTCCTTACAAAGCCACAGTGTCATTCAGCAGCATTCTATCTAAGCTAAATCATCTCAGTCCCTTCTGACTTGTTTATTTTTTGGGGTGGGGAGGGGTAGGGGGAGCACAGAAAAAGCCAGCACTTTAATTCAGTTTTGTTAAATATTTGTTTGATAACTTTAAAATAGTTCCTGTTTGTTACCAAGTTAGGGATTTAGCTTTTTCATCTGACTAGCAGTTATTGAGGAATAATAAGGCTATTAGGACATGAGGCTGGCCACCCAAAAGCTCAGTCTTAGGGGAAAGCTAATTGTAGCTCAGCATCCTACTATGGAATATGATAGATAGATTTGTTTCTTTGCGAGAAAGTAAAAAAAATAAAACAAAACAAAAAATAACCTGAGAAAGATGCAAGCTTAGGGTGGGCAATAAAGAATGAGGGATCTTACCTGGCCCGTGTGGCTCAGTGGTTGAGGGTGGAACTATGAACCAGGAGGTCATGGCTGGATTCCTGGTCAGGGTATATGTCCAGGTTGTGGGCTGTATTACCTTTAGTCCCCAGTAAGGGGCCTGCAGGAGGCAGCCAATAGATGATTCTCTCTTATCATTGATGTCTTTCTCTCTCACTCTCCCTTTCCCCCTCCCTCTCTGAAATCAATAAAAATATATTAAAAAAAAAAAAAAAGAAGAAGATGATAAAAAAGTGACTCCTAAGCAGTGGCTCAGGCAGACTGGGAGGGCTGCTTGCCTAGGGTAAATCTTTCATAAAAGAAAAAAAAGGAATGAGGGCTCCTGAGAAATGTCTCTGAGGAAGGTGGAGTAGGCCCCTTAACAGGGTTTGATAGAATCTTCCAAGGGAGGGGTTGGATTGACAGGTCGTAAAAAAGTAAGGAAAGAGTTCTAATGGAAAAGTCCGGAAACTGTGGTTAGTCTGCCTCAGTCCGGCTCTGCAGTGGGTATGTGAGAGGCAGAAAGGAGAGGGGAGAATCAGTTACACAGCCAGAGAAAAGGGGCCCCATGCCCTACAGCATGGTAGACTTCTCTTTACTTATTCTTTCTCCTGAAAGACAATTTCCCTTATTTTATTTTATTTTAAAATATATTTTATTGATTTTTCACAAAGAGGAAGAGAGAGGAATAGAGTTAGAAACATCAATGAGAGAGAAACATTGATCAGCTGCCTCCTGCACACCCTCTATTGGGGATGTGCCCGCAACCAAGGTACATGCCCTTGACCGGAATCGAACCTGGGTCAGTCCTCAGGCCGACACTTTATCCACTGAGCCAAACCAGTTTTGGCTTCCCTTATTTTAAATAAATTCTTTAGTTAAAAAGACATTTACAAACATGAATGCATGTCTAACGTGAGCTTGGGTTTTCTTATCTGGTAGAAGAAATTTTGAAGTTGCCTTTAGCAGTAAAATTGGACTGATCCCAAGATGAGTACAGCTGTCAGCTCGGATTAGTACACCGGCCTGTTGGCACTTGTGACAGCAAATGGGTGTTGTAGGAGCGAGATATAAAAAAATAAGTCTTTTCCCTTTCTGTTCCTCTAAAAATCCCAACCCAAAGTCACCTGGTAAACGTTATGCCTTGTTCTTATTCCAGTTTTCCAAATGGGCACAAATACTGTAAAAACCAGAAAGTAGGTATTACTGCCTCCTGAGGGCTCTGAGAGAGCTGACAAACGAAGACCAATAGCTTTCTCTAAGCCTACACAGTCATTTGAAGGAGGATGAAAAAGTAACTTGAAGGACTTTTTTTGTGACTAGATCAGGCGCAGGACTCAGAGTCTACTTCTATTGTTTTACCTATAAGTAAAACTTAGTTACCTCGTGCCATCTACTGAGCCAACCGGTTTTGGCCAGATTCATGTTTTTTACATAAAGAACCTGCAACAGCACTTTTTTTTTTTTTTTCAAGTTCAAAAGACTAATGGGTAATAATTTGGTCCTGATATGTTAGATGTTGTATGCATGCATATAAGCATAACCAAATGGACACAGACACTAGGAGGATGAGGGCATGCGCCAGGGGGCGGGGGAGGCTGGAAGGCGGTCACTGGGGATAAAAGGAAACATATGTACTACTCTTTGTAATACATAAAAAAAGAAAAGATTTATGACCAAGACTACTAATACTATTACTATTATTAGTACCAATATACAAAAAAATCTGGATGATACCAAATTCAAAAAGGCTCCAAACCTGTGTTGTATGTTTGCAAACATTTGTAAGATCATAGTGACACAAGATTGCATTTCACCATCGGGACATATAGAAAAAAAGAATCAATGATTTTCAGAAAATGGTGTTCCTAATCCCAGTTCTTCATGCATTCCCACCAAATCCTGACAGTCTCAGAGGATAAAAGGAACGTAGGAACAATGACTAAGAATCAGTTTGAGAATTAATACTTTATATGTTTTGTTTACTTACAATGTTAGTACTGACTTTGCGAATGGAAAAGAGCACATCTAAGGAGCCAGACAGTTTTGAGCAGTGGATTGAAAGAGATCCAGTACACACAGAGGGGCAGCTTCAAAATGAAGAAACTGTGGCACAGGATGGCCATGCCGCTTACTTAAGATTTAGCATTACATTGGCCGTTGGTCATTTTGCATCTGTGTATAGCAATTCTGCAGAGGGAACAGCAGTCTCAAATCTTTCTTAATAATTATAGCAATGCTTTTGTATGTTTTTAACAGTATACTTATTTTAAAATAAAGTTGCCACTGGTATACTTTATTAAAGGGATTTGCATTAAGGAAAAAAAAAAAAGACAAAATCCTGTAACTACTCTGTTTCCCCGAAAATAAGACAGTGTCTTATATTAATTTTTGCTCCCAAAGATGCGCTAGGTCTTATTTTCAGGGGATGTCTTATTTTTCCATGAAGAAGAATACAGTACACATTTATTGTTAAATGAAAATAAAGGAAATTTATTACCTGTATACGGTACGGTAGTACGGTAGTTGTCAACACAAACCAGACAAACTGTGAATCCTACAGTATCAAGAATTTACTCATTTATTCAGTGACAATCATGTCAGCATATTCTGGAACATCATCATAACAATCCAATTCCTGAATTTCCTGGTGAATTTCTTGTGACTCCATTTCTTTCAGAATCAGTGGACCAAATCTCTCATGTTTAGCCTGGGGGGGGTGTTATTTTTTTTGGGATGCCTTATATTTCACTCAGAAGGAAACCTGTAAGTAGGTCTTTTTTTCGGGGAAACACGGTATGGGTAGCTTAAGAGTGGACTGAGATATAAGTTTATTGCCCTCTTGTGGCAATTTGTCAGAATGGCTGTTTTCTTTAAAAAATTTGATGCAGCCTTTCAAAATTTTTGTTCTGTTGTCTCATAATGACTCAGTCTTAGTTGCAGGTTTTTATCAAACATGTACTGTATTGTTGACATGTATGTAAATATAACAGAAAGTTACCAAGCCTCAAAGCAAATAAAAACACATATGCCTTTTAATGGTTAAAGAACTTTTAATGATAGCATATTGTAATACAGGGTAACAGAATCTTGCAGATATTGATGGTGTCAGGCTCTGCTTTCCTTACACTGTACATCATGATGTTTAAACTCAGTAAAAAATAATTGGCTTTCACATTGATGTTAACCTAATGCAAGAGGAAATAACGCCAGTACTAGTTAAGCAAAACAACGTAATCAGTATGGCCATGTGAACTTCGGTAAAGAGAATGTCTTTATGTAATTTTCTCCACAAATCCGGCCATATTTGTTCTACTGTTTTGAAAAGGCTCGCCCCCACTGATTCCTTAGGCCTGTATGGCCAGTAGTATATTTATTACAAATGGCATCTGTTTAATTTTAAATTCCAAATACAATGTCATCCAAATTCAGAAAGTGCACTCTTGTTTGAAAACCTTGCAGATGTGAGAACAGCAGTTCTGAGGATCTGTGTGAGCGGAGGACATGTGGAAGACGTTAAGGCAGGAATGAAAGAAGCTGGATAGTGGCAGGGCCCGTTTCCCTAAGCCATCAACGAGAGACAAATACTGTTCCCTGTTTCACAGCTTGGATGTCTTGCAGTCATTACACTGAAAAAAATGACTGCATACGATGACAGCTTCACCCCTGTTAGAAGCCTGAGTAACATGAGCCTTCCTTCAGCTCATAAGGGCCTGATCTCAGTGGAAGGACCATGTTCCACTAAAGGGAGTGATTCTCAGGGTCTGAGTGGGAGTTACAGCCATCTGCAGCTTAAAATACCCTCCCCTTGATCTCTCAATTGGCTGGTAGCCATCTCCAGTCTAAGAAGTCCAACACTGAACCCTAGATTTGCCGCTTGCTCCCTGCATCCTGTTTCCTTCCTTGTTGCCAACCCACTCTGTGCTTCCAACCGCTTTTTTTCACCTTATTGTCAATTCCATTTTTCCCAGTTGCTCAAGTCAAAACCTTGGTGTCCTCACTTACATGACTCTCTCCTCCATACTGCATCTGAAATTATGAACAAATCCCATTTGGAAAAATAGCCAGAATCTGTCCAATCCTTACTATTTGCATTATTACCACCATGATCTAAGCTACCATTTTCTTTCACCTGGGTCATTGTGATGCTTTCCCCATTTCTCTCCTTGCCGTCCTGAAGATTAATGTTGCACAGCTTTGGGAGCGGTTATTTGGAAATTGAAGGGGAGATTGTGTTTCCCCTTTGCTGAGAACCCTGCAGTGGCTCCTCATCTCTCTCAGAGTGAAAACCGAGGCCCCAAGGGCCTACCTAACCCTCGGACCTCATTTTACAGACCTCACCCAGTCTATGCCAGCCACGCTCTATCCTCCATATTCCGGAACATGCCAAGATCCTTTTAGCTTAGGGCCTGGTTCTGAAGTGCCATCAGCACAGATATCCTTATGGCTCACCCCGTCACTTCTTTTGGGCCTGTGCTTAAATGCATCTTCCCTGTGAAGCCTTGCTCTGACTCTTTGTGTAAATTAGCCATCTTCTGTCTCTGGTTTCTATCTCCAATCATCTGGCATTTTTCATTCCTAGGGGTGTTATTGCCCTTAACCTGCTTTATTTTGCTCCTTAGAATTTGTCACATATATGTAGTTGTGATTATGTATCTTTTCTGTCCTCCCTAGACTGCACATGAGCACCATAAGGGCAGGGGAGGGGTCTGTTTTGTTCACTACTGTGCCCTCAGCACCTAGAGCCGTGCATTGCATGTACTTTCTAAATGTTTGTTCAATGAGTGAATGGTAATGAAGGTGGGTAAGCAGCTCAGGAATCAGTCTGCCTGAGCTCTATTCCTGCCTAGACTCTCATTGGTTAAGTCATTTGTGCAAGTTACTTTGTCTCTTTGGGCTTTGGCTTCCTTACTTGCAAATGGAGGGTAGTCACTGTGCCTCCCTCATACATTTTTTGGAAAAGAGTAGTAAGTGAGTATATTTGGTTTGTGGTAAGTTGTTGAAAGGTGTCAGTTCTTATCACTATAGCATCTTCCATGTGTATTGTAGGTAGGCAGTTCTGAATAGAGTCCCTGGCAACCTGCATCAGCATCACATGGGCTTGTCTGAAATGCAGCTTCCTGGGCCCCCATTCAGAAATATGAGGAAGGTCCTGAAAGTTTTGCATATTTACTGGCACATTCAAGTTTTAGAATTATATGTTGGAGAGCAGAATAATGGACCACAATTAGAGAATGGTCATTAGGAGCCTGGGGAAGAGTCTAGTTGAGGAGACACTGCTGCTTGTGGGGAATCCGACAGAGGGGCCTTCCCCTCTCAGTAGTGTGTGTGTGTGTGTGTGTGTGTGTGTGTGTGTGTGTGGTATGTGCTGTGATCCTAGTGATAAGTAGGTCTGGGAAGTGGTGTTGAGAAGTAAATTGGTCCTCTAGCTGCTGCCCATTTTAAAATGATTTTGTTCCGAGACAGGAGTTGGTAGCCAAGACTAATTATTTTCTTGTTTTTGACAGCGGGATGTTCTATGATGGGAACCACACCTATCTCATTGAGCCAGAAGAAAATGACACCTCCCCAGTAAGTGCTCCTCTGTTGTGGCAAACGTGAAAGTTGATGTTGGGAGCTTTTGTTCTTCCTCTTTTTCTCCTCTCTGCTTTATTTTATTTAAATATATATATATATATATTATATATATATAAATAATATATATATATACATTTAAGTTTTATGTTTCATTTAAATTTTACATTTTATTTCTATATTTAAAATAAATATGTCAAAACCACAAGTGTTTTTTTTTCTTTTTCTTTTTCTTCTTAAAAAATCTGTCTCTCCTTTAAACTGAAAATCCTTTCCTTCAACGGTATTCTGAAGCTTCCATTTCTCTCTCCACCACAATGTGCTATGATGATCTGTCCTATTCTGCTCAGGATGTCATTACAAAAAACTGGGTGGCTTAAACCACAGACATTTATTTTCTCACCGATTTGGTGACTGGAAGTCCGAGATCAAGGTGTCAGCAGGGTCAGTGTCTTGGTTGAGGGCTCTGTCTTCTGGTTGCAGACAGATGCCTGCTTGCTATGTCCTCAAGACACAGAGAAAAAGAGAGAGCTCTGGGATTTCTTCCTCTTCGTATATGGAAGAGGAACCCCCCCTATTGAAGAAGAGCCCCACTCTTACAACTTCATTTAATTATCATTTCCTCCCAGGCCCTGCCTCCCAATGCAATCACATTTGGAGTTAAGGCTTCAAATATGGATTGGTGAGGGGAAGAGGGGGACAAACATTTATTCTATAACAGATCAAAGCCAGATTCGTGATTTTCCACCCTCCCTTTCTTTTCTAGATTTGAGATTTTTCTCTATTGCTCATTGTCTTCAAAGCCCAGTGATGATGAAGTTTAGAGTAATCTAAGTTTTCTCACAAATTAGAAAATGATTGAGTTAATGTTATAGACTAGAGAGAAACATAATCCACTTCCATTCTAGCTCTGTACACACAAATATTCTTCCTTGTATCATGGAACATTGGTCAAGCACTTAGAGAGGCAAATACTTTTAAGAAACACATTGTTTTGCTCTTCATAATATTGTTTGGGAAACTATCTGTATTGTATGTTATTTTCTTGTCTCCACTGCCTGGCCTCCTGTCACTTTGCTTGACCGTGTGATTTTTTTTAAAAAAAGGTTATATTGTTGCCGAAACCGGTTTGGCTCAGTGGATAGAGCATCAGCCTGCGGACCGAAAGGTCCCAGGTTCCATTCCAGTCAAGGGCATGTACCTTGGTTGCTGGCACATCCCCAGTAGATGGTGTGCAAGAGGCAGCTGATCGATGATTCTCTCTCATCGATGTTTATAACTTTCTATCCCTCTCTCTTTCTCTCTTTATTGATTTAAAAATCAATAAAATATAGTAAAAAATAAAAATAAAAAATAAAAAGGTTATATTGTAACATTCTTCTTTTAATATTATAAAACTATGTTTATGGTAGTTCTTATCATGTTAGTAACTGAATGAAGTCAGATAAAGTTATTTGAGTGCTCATTAATTTTTCTTAGACAAAATATGGCTTTTTATTGGTTGGCTTTTCACAGAACTTTGCCTGACACTTGAATTTTGGAGCAAGGTCTGTTTGGGCATCTGCTGTACCAGTCCACATGCTCCCTAATACAAGCAAGCATGTTAGCTCGGCATTCTTTGCCGAGCAAAGCTCTGTGACTCTAAAAGGGAGGCAGGGAATCATGGAAAGGAACCAGTCATAAAAACATTAACCCACTTTCCCCAATGCCTTGCTTCTCCTTGGGGGGATAGGCCCATTCATTTATTTTCCAAATGGCTTCTCTGTTTGTGAAGGCATTTTGCTTCTAAAAGGATGTCGCTCGGGTGCAGGAGAACACGGGAGTGTGTGAGCTCTTGTGCAATGGCTTATCACCACTCGAAACCCAGGCGTCTATGTACTCAAGTTACGGTTGTCTTAAGGGTTCCAGCTCCTCCAGCTCTGATTGCCCGAGGAATCTGGAAGTATGTGCTTAATCTCTACTGTCTGTGTTATTTCAGGAGGATTTCCGTTTTCACTCAGTTTACAAATCCAGACTCTTTGAATTTCCTTTGGATGATCTTTCCTCTGGTATGAAATTTTTATGACTTAAAAAAAAAACTTTAATAATTTATTGTAATGCTGTAGAATTCATCTATAGCTGGAATATTGTTAGCAAACAACTGCTCATAGTTTTAGAGAGAAAGTCAAATGCATCAAAAGGGAGAATAAAATGAAAACTGACCTCATGCTGACAGTGGATGAATTTGGAAAGATGTAACTCAAACACATTGAAGGAAAACTTTTTAAAATCATAAGATTCCAAGTAAGGTACTATAAGATGTTAGATCAGAAATTGGTCTGCATAGGTAACATATATAAACATTCACTCTTGGTAAAATACTGTGTTGTAAACATAGGGATGAACTCTTAATAGTTTTCCCATTTGTTGTTATCCTCATCTCTCTATGCCCCAGCATTTTAAGGAAGAACTATTTTAGATTAACATTTTTGTTTCATGTGCTATTTGTGAAATTAGTCTTTCCTTCTCATGTATGTTTATAGGTCCATTTATTTATAGATGTTGATTTAAGAGTTGCATCCAAATCTTAATAGGATATAAGGTCCTGTTTTATAGGATTCACTATTTTGAAAAATCTGCAAATGAGCACATAACTGTTTTATTCCATACAGCAACCTTATGTAACTTTAATAATTCCTCTTATGGGAAGAAAATTATTCATGACTAGCTGACTGAGAATAAAGCCACAATCTAATAGATATTACTGGAAGTAACCAACATTAATTAATATTTAAAGTGATAAAACCCCCTCCCTCCCAAGACTTTATTGTAGGCGTGACATGATACAATCTTGTAATAATAATAATAATAATAATAAAAAGACTTTTTTGAGGGCTTATTTCCAAAAGAAATTTTGGAAATAACTTGGCAGTTTTGCTTTTATTAAAAATGAGTTTTGAACATATTCTTTGAAAACTGAGGTCTGTCTTAATTAGTTTCTGGTTTTCTTTTCTTATTAGTGTTGGCCCCATCCATTTTAAGAGTGTTATTTATCTTCAAGACGCTTAGATTTACTATGATAACTTAGAAGAAAATTTAGAAATAAATGTCAAAACTGCATTTTTTTGTGAAATAAACTCAAAAGAAAACTTATTGATTTGTAATTAAGTATAGTTTCACTGGGCTATGAATTATCAGCACCTTTGTCTTTTTATGCATTTCCTAGAGACAGACTATGATCAGGTGTTCTCCACACTTGTTTGATGGTAGAACCTTTTGTTTTACATGGCTCATTGCTTAGGACTAGTGTCTTTTCTTTCTTTGTTTTACTTTTTGATCAATTTTATACTCTCATATACGAGAGTCCTAACTGCTCCACCAACACTTCTTCATCAACACTTGGAGTGTCAATCTATAATGAAGGTCATTAGTAAATATGTAGGTTAAGTTGGCTATTTAGAAGGTTCCCAATAAAGAATATAATTAACTTTGAGATAAATTAGAACAAGAATAATGTTTGAGATTTTTTTAAATTATATTCATTCATAATGTATTTATTCAGTATCAATATGAACACAATTGTTTTGATTAATGTCCTATATTATCATTAAGTGCAACATTCTATCTTATAAAATTTACAACTACTTATTAATAATTACAAGTATTAAAAAGTATAATTAGATAATTTTTACTAGAAAGGGCTAGTAAAACTTTGATTGCCTTGTATGAAATAAAGGTAGATTTTCAATAAGTTTAACTTAATTTGTTTTCATTTCCTTTTAGCGTTCCAACAAGTAAATATCACTCCACCAAAATTTATTTTGAAGCCAAGACCAAAAAGGACCAAACGGCAGGTATGTATTCACAGGTATATATCGTTATGCTTTACAAACACTTGGCAACTGCCAGTCAATTGACTCTACAGTAAGTCTCTGTGAGAGGATATTTGTCAGAGTGTGGTAAGCAGTAAGCATGATGGATCTGTCACCAGCAGTGGAGGTGTGGCTATATTTTCTCATAGACTCAGAAAGGACTCAGAACAGTGGTGATAATGTGGTTATTTGTTGAGTAGATGGGTTATGGGGCCCCATCTCAGCTTCTTTCTAACACAGGCCTTTTTCCTTACCTGCTATGCGCCACCTCCTATGCATATCCTGGAATCTACCTGTCTGGTGCATATCCTCATGTTTATCCTTTTAAAGATAACCCCTCCTGAGTGAGTCCATCAGGTTTTGAAGCCACAAATGCTATTGTCACACTTGAGTTACTTTGGAGTCTGGAATATAAAATTAGGATGTCTACTTTATGAATGTGCAATGGATCTTGGACTTAGTAATAAAAATAACAACTGTTGTACACTGCTTTAACCACATGAAGTAAGTACTATTATTACTTTTACCAAGGAAAAAAAATAATAGTTTTTTTAATGTGAAAATGACTTGTGCAGAATTATGGGGCTGATAAATGGTTCAGACAAAATAAGAACTCGGGCTATCAGAAGTAAGCAATCCTCACCATTGTGGTGGTGGTTGGTGTGACAGTATGTGTGTGGCATAAAAAGGCAGGGTGAGAGAACTAGATCTCAAGTAAGATCAAACAGTTGAAGGAAACAGGTATTTTCTTTTTAAAATGTGTTTAATCTGTGTGAAATAAAACATGTTTACAGACAGATTTCTAAAGTGAATAGTAATTGCTAAATTGTATTGAGTACTTCCCATGTGCCTGACCCTGTTCTAAGAATTTTAATTGTATAACACATGTAATCCTCGTAACAATCTTATGAGGAAGGTATTCTTATTATCTCCATTTTACTGATAAGGACATTTCAGCATAGGAGGCTAAAATAACTTGCCCAAGGATATATTGGGTAACCCAGTGGTGGATCTGGGATTCTTACCTAGAAAGTCTGGTCTCAGAGAAGTTCTGATAGCCACATAGGCTTAATACATTGCCTCTCAGAAGTCTTTGTGTTCTATGAATTACTACTCTGAACCTTTATATATTTTGTGAATATGCATATATATTGAGGCCCAATTACATAGACAGAAGTAATTGCCATCAGGATTTAATTGGGAACAGGAATTATTTCCATGAGTTAATAAATGAGAGAATAGGATGATTTTCTGTTAACATATTTTTTTTGTTTTTCATAAACATTTGCAACATCCAGTCATATGCTAAACAGACAAACTCTTGATTTCTCTTTCTGAGAACTGTGTGAACCCCGGGAGATGAAGTGTTTTAAAACTTGTGTGGCCAATATTGACAACATTCTGACCTTCAGGAAATATCAAAACTTGTGAATCTACTGTATTCACTTATAAGGCTCAGTCTCCTCCACAGTTAAAAATGCAGACTACCATTCTAAAAACACCCATTTTTAAAGAGACTCCTGTGATTGGATGCAGTTTATGTTACTTTTTGGTTTCCAAACCTCAAATTATGTCTGTTATTCCCTATCAACTTATTATAAGGGATTTTGAAAAAAAAATTGTTAAAGTTTGGGAGTGTGTTAGCAATGAAACAAAATCCATATGACAGGGATGTTTTAGTTTTCTCTAAATGCAGTATTCAAAACACATTCATTATTGACTTTGGTTTGATTGTATACCCTCATCACCAAAATGGCCCTTGGGGAAGTGAGCAAAAAGATGTTATTGAAAAAACTGTTTATCAAAGCATAGCATAAAGGAAAAAGTTAATTTTGCATATCTTGTTAAAGATTGTGTTATAGACTAACTGTGGAAGACAAAGGGATATGGCTGCCTTAGTGGCTCTTGCCAGTAGCACTCTCTGAACGTGATTTTGAAGATGGAGAAAATTTGTCGTTGAACAGACAGAGGTAGCTGCACTGCATAGCCCAAACCTGGGAACTCTCAAAACTATCCTAACAAAGTTTCTGTCATTTGGGGGATCCTATCACTCTGCCAAAGGAAGGAACATGTCTCAAGCCCAGATTTGAAGATTAAAGAATACCAGCGTCAATCATCTCACTCCCAGTAGACCTCTCAGAGATTCTCAGGAGCTCAAACTAAACTGTTTTATTACAATTTCCGAGGTATACTGTTAAATGAAAATAGCCTGAGAATGAAATGGATGGAAGTACAAAATGAGATATATATCCTTGATTTTATATGCATACATATTTGTGGAAGAAACCAGTAACTGCTGTACCCACTGTTGGGGAAGGATAAAAACTGGGTAAATGGGGGACAGAGGTCAGAGCAAGACTTTCACCCTTGACTTGTTTATAATTCTTTAATTGTTGAACCATGTAAATGTATTACTTCCTCAAAAAGTAAAGTAATTGAAGAAAATAAAAAAATAAATGCTCAATGAATAAAAGGGGGAAACTACTTTGTTTACTTCTCCCATATTTTTTAGTTTCTCTTATATAAAAGTTTTCAGTTTTATTGAGGTATAGTTGACAACATTGTAAAATATTTAAGTGTACCTTCTGAAGACATTTTCCCCATGAAGTTTACACATCTATCACCTCACTTATTTACCTATTTTAGGGAATAAGAACACTGAAGTTCTACTTTCTTAGCAAATGTGTTATACAAAGCAGTATTTTTAATGTGAGTGTCCCCTCAAGGGATAAATGGATCAAGAAAACGTGGCATATGAACAGTAGAGCATTATTCAGCCTTAAACACAAAATACAAAAATGCACGGTGTCACTCATAAATGGAATCTAAAAAACAACAACAAAAAAGTCAAACTCATAAAAACAGAGAATAGAAAAGTGGTTGCCAGGGTCTAAGAGGTGGGGAAATAGGGAGAGGTTGGTGAAAAGGTATACATTTTCAGCTGTAAGATGAATAAGGTCTGAGAATCTAATGTATAACATATTTTTTAGTTTTTCACAGCCAAGTTCAAAGGCCTATTTAGGTGCCATTTCCTTTACTGTGTTGCAGCTCCATCGCCATCCTCGGAATGTAGAGGAGGAAACCAAATATATTGAACTGATGATTGTGAACGATCATCTCATGGTAGGATTTGCTGAATTTCTTGTTGTTTGCTCTTGTCCGTACCTTGGATAAAACTGGTCAGTGCAGGAATATTTTTACAATAAAGAGGTTCATAAAGTGTTAACCTGGACAAGGTCTTTGTGTAACCAGATATATTTGTTACCCAGCAACAACCTATAAGAAGGAAACACCCTTAGGTGAAAGGAACTAACAGTATTTTGTGAAGTTTCAAAAATATTTCTGGGGCTCATAATGTCAACTCTTTCTTTTTTTTAAAAAAAAATATATTTTATTTATTTTTCTTACAGAGAGGAAAGGAGAGATATAGAGAGCTAGAAACGTCGATGAGAGAGAAACACCGACCAGCTGCCTCCCGCACACCCCCTACCGGGGATGTGCCCGCAACCAACATACATGCCCCTGACTGGAATCGAACCTGGGACTCTTCAGTCCGCAGACCGCGCTCTACCGTTGAACCAAACTGGTTTCGGCTCAACTCTTTCTTGATTAATGTCAATTCCGCCTTGACTAATATAGGGGCGAATATTTCCTGTTACTAAAATGGGAAGATTTAAAAAAAAGAAAAAAAAAGAAAGAAAGAAAAGTTCCACTGGTGAGACACCAATAATGTGAAACTTTAGTTTTCAAACTTTTAGTGCAAGTTTATCCTAGTGAAATAGAAGCAACATTTCTATTTCTGTCTTGCTGTGCAATAAAACTTACGGAAAAGCTTATATGGCGAAGTAATAAAGATTTTTAGGATAAGAATCTAGCAAAACTCATTTTTGTGGAGTCTGTTATGTTGTTATATTCAGTTCCTGTATTGATTCAGTTCATGGGCATGTAGCAGTCATATGGTTATAGTCACAGTCTAGTCTTATACTAATTGTTCTGTATAACTAGGGCATTGCACTAAGAGTGTTCAATGGTGCACATTGCTTAATTTTACTTAATTTCATGTGAAAGTACATTTGGATTTACTTTGAATGATTTGAATCATTTATTTACATATGATTAAACAAATAATATCAATTTCAATTCTTTTTACTAATTATACCATCCAGATTGAGTGCTTCTTTCTTGCTAAGGTTAAAACTAAGTTTTACCTTTCTGCGTTTTCAAATTCAGTGCATTTTACTGTTCCCTAAGATCTTTACAAAACAAGAATAAGTTGCAAAAACTTAATTTCGGGTATTTTGGAACATCACAAATTCACATGTCTATAGACATCTTTGTGCAGAAAACACAGGTAAAGTGAGTCCGGAATTAAACAATAGGGAGAACTGAGGCCTGTGGTGAAGAAAGGAAGGTCACATGGCTGGTCCAGTGGGAGCAGCTGCTTTTCAGCAGGTACCAGTTTTTACCATGTAGGGATGCTCATTTAAAGGGAAGCCAGAAGCCAGAAATCAGGTTTCACATGGTATTTTCTGATTTTTAAAACAGGCTTGGGGCCAAACAAAAGATATATGTGATTCACATCTTGTTTATAAGCTACCTCTTTGTAACCTTTAGGGTTTTCTTCTCCTGATTGAATAAGTCTTACAGAATTCATACATTTTTATACTTTTAGCAGTATTCACATTCACTTTTTCTGACTTTGATGCTACTTATTTAGTATGTCTTGCAATTCATAGATAACATATGTTTTAATTATTTTGAATAATAATCTCTTGATAGAAATAAATTTGTGGAATAGATGGAATGAGTACTTTTTTCCTTCATACCACAGATGAGGCCTCCAACTTTCAAGAGCCTTTTCTCAGAGGATAGCCTGTAAAGGACTAGGTCTCAATCCTTATTTATATATATATATAAAATTTTTTTTACAGAAAATCATAGAGATCTTTCAATTACACCGTGTTTTCTTTGTTGGTTTGATTATTTGCTGATGACTTTGAAAGCTGTTCACTTGTTTCCTTTTGCTTCCAGTTCAAAAAACATCGGCTTTCTGTTGTACATACCAATACTTATGCGAAATCTGTGGTGAACATGGCGGATTTAGTAAGTATCAACCCAATTCAATATTGCCATAGAGGAACTTTATGTCTTGATGGCTAGTAGAACAGATAACGTAGTTCTTACATTTTCACCACTCTAAATTACACTTTAGCTAAGGTGTCTGTCTCCCAAATCCCTGGGAACCATGCAGTTGACTTTATCAACTTTGCTAACTGGCTGGGAAGATGATAAAAGGAAGGGGCCACAGTTACCCACAGGTTTATTTCTGATATTCCTTCCTGTATTTTTCACTTGGGAAAGGAAAGGTTGGGTTCATAGGCCCTAACAAAGATACTCACCCTGTACTTCCAGTATAAGATTTGCCTTTTTCCAAAGGGTGCCTGAGGCTGTGGGAATTATGCAATTAAATAATCCTCCTGTATCTACTTTCCAAATCTTCCCCTGACAAGACAGTGCCTGTACCTTCTCTATGACTGTAGTCAGGGACAGTCAGGGTGTGTAGAGATGATTTCCTTGAAGAGTCTTCATTGTTCCATTTCTACTAGGGGAACTCAGGAATGCAGGGATGCTTTGTCTAGGTGTCAGAAGGTGGACTCAGGGAAAGTCTTGGATAAGGGCACATGACCTTTTGTTTCTAACCAGTGCTATTCTTTGGGTGTTACTTGCTAAACAATTGATTCCCTGTTACTCAAGGGAAATGTATGACATTAGAAAAATAATTCTCTCCCTTAAAAACAATGACATTTTTTACATGAATTAAAACTCAAGGTATTTCCTTAAGTAGGAATTATTGTCCTGTTCATGAAACATTTGATTTTACCACATGTATGCCTGGTGTGTTCATTTTGTTATATACTAGATATATAAAGACCAACTTAAGACAAGGATAGTATTGGTTGCCATGGAAACCTGGGCAGCTGACAACAAGTTTGCCATATCTGAAAATCCATTGATCACCCTACGTGAGTTTATGAAATACAGGAGGGATTTTATCAAAGAGAAAAGTGATGCAGTTCACCTTTTTTCGTACGTAACTTTTGTAATGATTTATTACTTTTTCTGGTTCCATGTTGAATACTCTGTGACCTGTGACAGATGTATCCTTTGTACTGCATAATGCAATTAGGATTTGGTAGGGAAGATACATTTGGAAGAAGTTTTAAAGTATAAATGGTTTAAAATTAGCACGAAAATGTAAGAGCTTTAATTTTGAGTTATTTTCTTATTGCATATACATTTTATTTAAATTTTCAAGAGATTTAACAAAAGCATTTATTAAGTAGAAGTACTGTTAATGTTCATACAGAGTATTTTAACTTATTAAAAACAACTTTGTTAACTTTATTTTTTATTTAAGTTGAGATCTTATTGTTCCAAAGTTTATCTTTTGTTTATCTCACTCTTAAAGGTTTTTTTTGTAACATTTATATTTGAAGTAATAGCAAGATATATATAATAGCATTTAAAAAACTTAACATTTGAAGTCAGAGCTTTTGTTAAAGAAAGTTATAAATGGAAGTAAAAGATTATATTTGGGGGTTAACTTTTTATTTTTATATAATTTCAAACTTAGAGAGGAAAGTTGTAAGGAAAAACCCTTTGCCTTTCATCCAGATTCGTTAATTGTTTACATTTTGCTATTTGTTTTATTATTTCTTTCCTTTCATCCTTCTTACCCCTTTTTCTTCCTTTCATCCATCTATCAATTTTTTTTTTTTCCTGAGCCATTTGAGAGTAACTTGGAGATCTTTACTTACTGGACATTTACTACTTAATCCTCATGGCATTTTCTTATATCACTATAGTAAATTGTTAAAACCAGATAATTTAGCATTGGTATACCAGTAAGATGTTATTTAACCTATGGACTATATTCAAATTTTATCTATTGTCTCAATAATGTCTTTTATAGCTAATTTTTTCCTGTCTCAAATTCAGGATTTAACACAAAACACACATTGTGTTAACTGTATCTAGTCTTTAATCTGTGAGATTTCCTCAGCCTTCCTTTGTTTATTTTGAACTTAACACTTTTGAAGAGTATAGGCCAATTATTTTATAGAATTCCCCTCTTTGTGGGGCCGATATTTTCTCATTATGAGATTCAGGGTATGCATTTTTGGCAGAAATACCACAGTAGTGATTTTGTATCCTTCTTGGAGTACATCATATTACTAATTCTTTTTTAATAAGTAGAGTTCTCTTGAAGATAGTGATTATGTGGGGAAACATCCCCTAGAAACTTTATTTGGTTATGTGTGTAAATAATTTTCATATTCCTTCCTTGCTTCAGGAACATGTAGTATACAAATGTTATGCTCATTGAGAAAATAAGAGTGATAAATTAATAATGAGAGGTGTTATGATATTTGAAGTGCGAGCAGTAAGTATTTTTCATTTCCTTTTCTGAAAGGGGAAGTCAATTTGAGAGTAGCCGGAGCGGGGCAGCTTATATTGGTGGGATTTGCTCGTTGCTGAAAGGAGGAGGCGTGAATGAAGTAGGTGTGAACATCTGTACAGTACAAAGTGGTATGATGGCTGAAAATGTCTTCCTAATATTTAAGATATAAGTTCTCAGTAGTTCACATTCTCTACATGTTAGGTTATTTTATTAATACCGGTGTAGTTACTATAAATGACCAGAGGGCAGAATAAGGAATAATAAAATAATATCTGATAATTCTGTTCATGATGTACTTGGAATAATTTCCAGATTTAGCTATTTACAGATTATTTAGTGAAAATATTTACTTTTACCTTCATGAACTATAAAGCCTTGTTTATCACTTTGTTTGATTTTCCAGAGAATTGAGGAATTCTCTGAATTGTTCAGCTTACTACAAAAACCCAGTTGGAAATTTTCTCTCTTCTTTGATACTTGGCAAATTTTTGAAGAAAAAAATAGAGTAGGCTTTTCAAAGGGTTCCTTCTTCCCCTAAGGCACTAAACCTGATGGAAGTGATCTGAAAGGAAATACTTGAATCCTTGGGAGACTGTATACTGAAAAAAATACCTCTAGGTCTTCTTAAGTTTTCTTTGGCCAAAGATCATCACCACATCCTGTTTTTTAGCATTTGTTTTCAGAAGCCACGTTCTGTTTAGTTTGTGGAAATTTCAGGAGTACAAGTGGACATACACAGATGAAAAGTTATAAATAATTTACTCATTTATTATTATTATTATCCAAATGACTAATCATATATAAGTATTACATTTTTCAGACATGTCACTGGTGAAATTTGGATTCAGAATTAGATTTAAGTTTCCAAACTGATAAGTTGGTGATTCCCTGATTTCTAGTCTATAAAGCCTAATCAAATATGGATTTATTTCTTACTACTTTTCCCCAAATGCCCAGTAGTTCAGTCTTGAACTAATGTGTTTAACCTGTGCCAAATAAAACACTTAGAGATTACTTATTTTCAATTACATTGTGACTGTTCTTTGGCCCATCTTAAATAAAAACAATTTGCATTTACATATATTTTACTTTTTTTTTCAGTTTGGGAAAACTGACTTAATGGCAGTTACACTTGCCCAGTCATTAGCAAATAATATTGGCATTATCTCAGACAAAAGAAAGTTAGCAAGTGGTAAGTTGAAGTACACATGTGGTTTAATTATATTTAAAATAGACTCTCTGTGAAATATTTTGGAGAATGAGATTCTTTAATTCAGTTGCTTGATCAAAAGAATTTGGATGATTACATAAGATAAACAGTTATGGCACAAAACAAAATGTTTTTTTTAAAAGTAATACACCATTATATGTATATTACCAATGAAAATTTCTCCATGTGTTATGACCACTTAAAGTTATGTCATAATGTTTGAAATTAACATTAAAAGTGTTTTAAGTGTTTTAATAAAACATCTTAGGCATATAGGTTTAAGGCATACTGTTTTATTATGGTTTACTTAAAACATATCTTAATATGGCTATAGAGAATTTGCCTTACTGATAAAGGGTTTAGTAAATATGGACCTAGTAAAATATGCTATGTTTAGCATCTATGCGGAATACTAGTATATTTTACCAAAGTACTTCACTTTGTATTATGAGTACATTGATTATAACCCTGCTTATTTTATTTTTAATAACACAGTATAAATATAATTGCTTATATTAATAACTAATATAATTTGTGGAATTCCAACTATATGACAGGTAATTGAATGCCAGTATTACCTACATATAGATATTCATTTAATCCTCTAGAATCTAGTGTCTAGATATTCATGCAAGCTATGTATTATTAGTCCCATTTTACAGATGTGACTAGATCATAAAAGGCTAATGTCTCAACATTAAGTTAAATGGCAAGCCCGGCTTTAGAACCTGAATATTTCTGGTTCTGAAGCCCTTCTGCTTAACCAATGTTTCATACTGCCTTCTACCAGCGGCCTTGGTACAGAGGCTTTTAATAATAAACAGGAAATTGTAAGGATTCTCATAAAAGGCCTGTGACACTAAGATCCTGGAGTGGTGTGTCACTATTTCATTGTATTTTGTTTTCAGTGAATTCTTTAAAAACATGGCCTCTTGATAAAATATCAAAAGATTTAATTTTAGTAAGAATTATGTAAACTTGACAGGGTCAGGGTAGATTTTTGTGATTATTCATTGCATAGAAACTATAAGTATAAGGAAAATTAGAAAGCAGGTATTACTTTTTAAAAATTATATTAGGAATAAAGTGAAGATATACTTTTTAAGATAGTAACAACTCAAATGCACCTTTTTGACTTTGTAATAAGGCGTGTGTATTCATCTTCTCTTAGGTGAGTGTACATGTGAGGACACCTGGTCTGGATGCATAATGGGAGATACCGGGTGAGCCACTTCTGCTTGGAAATACCTCACTTTTCCTTTCCCTGCTGTGCTGCTGTCTTCCTAGGAATATGACACCCAATAACAGCTCAGGGACCCTCACCACAGGCATTTCAGAGAGAACCAGTAGATTTTCTCTGTGGCTTTGTTATGTAAAATATTTTCACAAATGAGTACCTTATTTATGAAAACAATCGATGTCAATTAATCCAGAAAAGATGTTTTTGACCTTGAATCTAGGCTGAAAAAGAGGAACAACTTTGTTCTTGATGGCTTACATGCTAATTCCCATTCCTCTTATCTTCTTCAATTCTAATTCAGTGGGTTATAAACAGGACTGTGCTGGTAAGCTGACTCTCAAAAACAAAAACAAGAAAGAAAGCCCAGATTTGTCGCTTCTCAGATTCCCAGCAGCCTCCCATCATAAGTAGAGCCTGTGGTGTAGACGCTACAATGGCTGATTTCAAGCTACCAAAGGCGCCTCACTAAACAAGGCCTGGGAGGAGTTGTGCACAATTTTTCTCCTGAGGAAAGTTTTTATTTTTACTGTGTCCCACCTGTCAAACACTGTCAGGCATTAATCTTTTATTCTTTCTAAATTCTACAATCATTTCTTTCGTGCCAAGCTTATCACTACCCCATACTTTTAAATAAATTAATCTTTATTGTTGAGATTATTACAGACGTCTCTCTTTTTTCCTCACATAGCTCCCCTCCACCCGAATCCCACCCCAGGCCCTCACCACTCTATTGTCTGTGTCCATAGGTATTGCATACATGCATATAAGGTCTTTGTCTAATCTCTTCCGCCCCCCCTCCCCTTACACACACACTTTTAAACTTTCATCATCTTGTGCTCTTACTTCAGTAACATTCCAGATACTTAGCTTCAGGGCTCCCTCTGTCCCTGCCCGAAATCCACACTTCTATCATAATTAAATAAGATAAACGGGATGAAAGAGTGAACACTCATAAACTATTATCCAGATTTAAAAAATTAAATACTGACTTCATAATTAAATACCATGGTTAATGTTACAAAAACAATGTTAAAATAATGTTTAAATCCAGTATTTTTTTTCTTTTCATTTTTATTGTTCTTTTATAAAATTTGGGTCCTGTTGAATATATAACTATTCATTTTTTTTTTTACTTAACATTATATAATCAACATTTTTTTCTGAGTCTTTATTCTTGAACACCATGATGATTAATAACTACATGGTATTCTATTTTAGTAACAGGTTATTGTTTTTTAACTGTTGAACATTTTGGTTATTTTCATGTTATTTGCTACTATAAACTATGCCACCATAAATAAGTATCTGAGTTCAGACATATGTGAACACATAGCTAATTATCTGAAACTTGAAAAGTTGCAAGAATAGTAACAAAACCTTTTTGTCCTTGAATCATAAATTGCTAACTTGGTGCCCCATCACTGCCAACAACTTACTGTGCATTTCTACCAATAAGGACATCCTCCTACAGAAACACAGTACAGAAATAAATCATCTCCTTCTTAGCCCTCATTCAGCACTGGCTCTGTGCTTCAGAATGTCGTTTTAGGAAAGGTTCAGAATTAGGCATCAGATTTTTATGTCTCTTTAGCCTCCTTCAGTCTGGAACAGTTCCTGACTTTCTTTGACTCTCATGACCCTGACACATTTGTAGATGATAGGTCAGTTGTTGTGTAGACTGCTTTGTAGTTTGGGTTCCAGCCCAATAGTAATTTTTAGGAATGACTTATTATGAAATAAATCATTCCTCTTTTTAATGCAAATTACAAGTGTGTGTGTGTGTGTGTGTGTTTCCTTTGAATATGTATGCAAATAATGAACAACCCGTCATCACCATTGGTCACCAAATGAAGAATTTGGAAATATACTGATTGAATAAAACCTTTAGGGACTTGAGTGCAAATATTGTACATAAGTGGAATTTATTTTTCACTTTTGAGAAAAATGTATAAGTTTAACTATGTTCGGTTTTAACACTAATATACAGACAAGGAAGGCAAGAATTGTATCCAGCTGTTATTTTCTTCTGTCTTAGTTACTATCTTCCTAAGAAGTTTACCCAGTGTAATGTTGAAGAGTACCATGACTTCCTGAACAGTGGAGGTGGAGCCTGCCTTTTCAACAAACCTTCTAAGGTAATAAGTGTGACCGGTTATTAGTTGTTATTAATCTTTCTGAAGTATGATTAAACACACATTTTTGAGCCATTTGGTGTTATAAAGGAGAGCTTTTCAACTTGGCTTGTGCATATTGAATATGTACCGTATTCTAAATTTGCTAAGTATTTGCATTTTCAAAGCCAGTTTTAATCTTGAGCATTTGGGACTTTTCTGATAGGAATAGAAAGCAGGTAGAAATAAGAATGTTTACTTCCTGAAAATTTTACATTTTCTATTTATACGGCCACATGATGATTCAGGGATAACTTACAAAAATATTTTCATTTTGTTTTTCTTGAGTTTCCCTCTCTGGATTCCTAATTACAACACATCCTGGTAGAAAGGGGAGGGGGCATAGCTACCTTCATCACTCCTTGCCATTGCCTTTCAGAATAAGCAGTATGGCCAAAACCAGTTTGGCTCAGTGGATAGAGCATTGGCCTGCGGACTGAAAGGTCCCGGGTTCGATTCCGGTCAAGGACATGTGCTTTGGTTGCACTCTTCTTAAAAAAAAAAAAAAAAGAATAAGCAGTATGATTAAAAATGCAACTTCTCAATATGAAAACTAAGTTTGCTTAAAGAAGAGAAGGAGAAAATCTTTCGGTGTGTAGACTGTGTCAGAGGCTTTTGCAAGGAGTGGAATGTCCTTTGATCACTGACTGCCTGAAAGCAGGTCTTCCTCCTGCCCTTGGAAGGCCGCACATTAAAGGAGAACACTGTCCTTGTTAGTTACGTCTACTGTGACATGCTGCTGTGAACCACCGCCTTGGGAGTCATTTACCTGGTTTCATTCTCTGCCACTCTGGTGACATTTAGGAAATGTATCACCTGGCAGCAAAATGATGTGAGCACCGAAAGTTCCAGAAGTGATAATTGAACAAAATCCTTACTGCTATAAAGGAAAAATAGTTCAAGTCTTTTTACCAAAATTACTGATTATTCTGAACCCAGAGGAAGAAAATAAGAGTGCTTTTCACCTAGATAAGTTTTTGTTTTGGCTTCCAAAACTGTCTCATTGGTTTTTATGATCTCTTTCAACTGGAAGTGAAATTGATAGATGAGTTGATTCTTTCGTTGGAGAGAGTATTTGAAATTAGGTGGGGATTTTGTTTTTTTGTTTGTTGTTGTTGTTGTTGTTGCTTTCTTTACTTGGTTTTGCTTCTTCCCTCTAGTTGGTTTTAAGAAAGTGTGTGTGGCCAAAACTGGTTTGGCTTAGTGGTAGAGTGTCGGTCTGCGGACTGAAAGGTCCCGGGTTCGATTCCGGTCAAGGGCATGTACATTGGTTGCGGGCACATCCCCAATAGGGGGTGTGCAAGAGGCAACTCGTCGATGTTTCTCTCTCATCGACGTTTCTAGCTCTCTATCTCTCTCCCTTCCTCTCTGTAAAAAAATCAATAAAATATATTTAAAAAAAAAAAGAAAGTTTGTGTGTGTGTTGATAGGTGTGTATTCACTGCCATTCTGGAAAATGTAGACTTTGATTAACTTTCGAATGGATATTATATATTTAAAACATAGCAATTATATTTACTAATTTTACCTGTAATCATAAGATAAATTATAGTCAAAAGATATATTGATGGAGAGTTAAAAGTTAAACAGCCTTAAAATATACTCTTGTATAGTCCAAAGACTGCTTCTGTTTCTGGGGGAAATTATCATTGCTGTTCTCTGCAAGACTCTATTAATAGGAGGAGGGATATTTTGTATTAAAAATTAGTAGATTTGTTATTTTGTGATGTTTTCCTTATTGTCAATGAAATAACTTTCTGTTACACAAGAAAAATAGTTAATAAAGAGCTTTTCATAGGACCTTGAATTTGATCCTCATAGCAATTTGTGATATAGTTGGACAGTTGATATCATTCCAGTTTTAAATACTAAAACTCTTGGGCTCAGAGATGGCAAACCGTTTGCCCAAGAAAAATAGCTGAGCCAAGATTTGAGTCCCTTGCTTCCTATTTGAAGGAAATGAAATTTCAGGAGTCACTCTGGCTTGGTTTTGGTCAATGGCTAGATCATATTTTATTTTATTTATTTATTTTTTTAATATATTTTATTGATTTTGTACAGAGAGGAAGGAGAGAGATAGAGAGTTAGAAACATTGATGAGAGAGAGTCATCCATCAGCTGCCTCTTGCACACCCCCTACTGGGGATATGCCCGTAACCAAGGTACATGCCCTTGACCGGAATTGAACCCGGGACCCTTCAGTCCCCAAGCCAACGCTCTATCCATTGAGCCAAACTGGTCTTGGCTCATATTTTATTTTGATGGCATTTATCAGACCCTACTTGGTATGTATATTCTACATGTAAATATCATTACATCTAACATGAAAACAATATTAGACCCTTCTGTTCAAAGTTTCCCAGTCCTAAAGTTATAGGAAGTCGTGCTTTCTGTTTAGGAAAATAAAAAAACATATTTTGGAATAACTGGCAGATATGCCAGAGGCTTAGGTGTGGCACTTATGGTCTCAAAAAGTCTTTGAAATCATTGATTTGTCTCTATTTTAATTCTCTTTTTGGTTTTCATCCCACAGCTTCTCGATCCTCCTGAGTGTGGTAATGGCTTCATTGAAACTGGAGAGGAGTGTGACTGCGGGACGCCGGCAGTAAGTCTCTGGATGTTTTGATGACCTTTTTTAGGTTATTCAGGGTCATTCTGAGATAGACATACAGAGCAGGGGTTATGCCTGGAAGTTTTATAAGATTTATGGAAGGAAGATTATTATTATGAGGTTGTTCATGTGTTTTTGAAAATATGTTGGTCCTTTCAGGAAAGTTACCCCATTTCTGACATTATGCAAATTATTATATTCCTTAGCAATGTGTCCTTGAAGGAGCAGAGTGTTGTAAGAAATGCACCTTGACTCAAGACTCTCAATGCAGTGATGGTCTTTGTTGTAAAAAGTGCAAGGTAAGTAAACGTTGTTTTACAACCAATTGATGAAAAAGAGGACATATTTGATTACACTGTTAAGGTGAGGTTACTCTAAACTAATAACAACAGTAGTATCTAACACATATCAAGTGACTAAGTGCCAAATGCTTTACAGTATCCTCACAAAATCTAGTGAGGTGTAGTGACTATTTTTATTCCCATTTAACAGATGAGAACACTGAGGCTTGTGTGGTTAAATTGTTTGCCCATCTTAAACCAAGTAAGTCAGGGAGCTCGGGCCTGAATCTTGATAGTTCCCAGAGTTTGTCCTCTCACTAGACCGCTTCCCTGAGGACTATGCACACTAAATGAAAACAGGTGTTAAATCTTTGACTGCTGTTTTCCCTTTCTTGTAAAGCCAAGTGGATGTTCAGTTCAGTTGACCTTTCTTTTCTCGCAGCTCAGTTTGGTATAGCTCTTGCATTCGCTGTTGAAGGAGCAAAAGGTAGACTTTAGACATGATAACACCTTACATGTATTGTGCTAGAGATTTTAAAATGCACCTTGAAACATGTGTCTATTTTCACCTGCCCACCAGCATCTTCATACCTATCTCCAAATATTTAAGCCTTTCCATCAAGACTAACAATTATTTGAGGCTTACCTTTTCCAAAGAAATCTATTGTGGATTTTTTTCCTCTCTTCTTTTTACATAGGAAGTCTGGTACAATATTCTACATTATTTCTGAGGTTGAATATGTTTTTCATTCGGTACATTTTATGGAGGCAGAGCCAGGGACTTACACAGTAATTGGTACAGGTTCGTAGTAAATATTTGTTGAATGAATGAATATGCTCAGCAGATACTTACTATTTGCTGATTAATCTAATTAGAGTTAAGAGAGGGTAGAATATGAATCAATTATCTTCTGAGTGCCAGAGATAGTCTTAAGGATTTTAATGCATATCATCTTATATCTGGATTCTCAACGCTGGCACTATTGACATTTTTGGCTGGATAATTTTTTGTTGCGAGGGGAGTCTTTATTGTAGAATATTTAGCAGCTTTCCTGACTTATGCTCACCAGATGCAGGTACAATCCCTCCCAGTGGTGACAACCAAAATGTCCCCAGAGATTGCCAAATGTCCCCATGGGGGCAAATCTGCCCCTGGCTGAGATGCTCTTAGAAAATGCTCACAACCACACTTTTCTGATAGCGGTTACTATCCAGACTTTTTTTTCACTTCCCAATCCCAGTCTCAAGGAAGTGAAATAACCTGCGGAGGCTCATCCGCCAGCAGTGAATCTGTGTGCAGTTACTTCCCAGATCTGCTGGCAGCGATTCCTGCTGTTTCCCATTTCCACGGTGTCTCCTGCAGTCTGTGAGACAAGTGAGGCGCTGGCAGAGATCTCTGAGAGAACGCTCTAAAAGATGAAATGAAACCAAGTGTGAAACAGACGTTCTTTTATTTTTGGCTGCCTCAAATGTTGATTCTGTCAGCTTTTCCAACGGCCATAACAGGGAATCCCCAATCCCTTATTTTTATTCTCAGTATTTTTAAGTCTGCCCACTCATAAAGTGCCTTTAATTAGGCTATTTTTCTTTGATTTATGGACTTCGGCTCTTTGTGATGTAATCAGTTCAAAGAACAAGTAAAAAATGATAGAATACATACAATAAAGTGGTATGTAAATTATCCCACAGAGAAGTGCCAGTCAAGTAAGGTCCTTTTAGCTAATTTCTCAAACCCCACCACTACCAGCCCCACTCTCATCCCTAACCTGGGCTCCTGAAGGAGCTGAAGCAAGACAGTGAATGGAGGAGGGGAAATAGAAGAACAAGATGAGAAACTGAGTGTATTTTTATTTTTTTTTTACATGTGTTTATAATATTGTGCATATAAGTCAGAGTTGGCAAACACTTTCTGTAAAGGGCCAGATGGCTTTTGTCTGTCATAGCTATCAATGTCAATTACTTCTGCCTTTGAAAGCAGCCATCAAAAATACAGAAATCCATGGGCATGGCTGTGTTCCAATAAAACTTTATTTAGAAAAACAAGTGGCCAAGTGCCTGTCAGTAGATGAGTGAATTAAAAAGCTGTGGTACATTTACTCCAGGGGATACTATACAGCTGTAAAAAGAAGGATTTCTTTTATTTTTTTAAATTAAATTATTATCTGTGTATATATACCATTGCCCCCTCTCCTTCCCAGACATGCCCTCCCTCCCCAAAGTTTTGTGTCCATTGGTTGTACTTATATACATGTATACAAGTCCTTCAGTTGATCTCTTATCTATCCCAGATCTCCCTAAAAAGAAGGATTTCTTACCCTTTGAGACAGCATGGATGGACCTAGAAATTATGATGCTAAGTTAAATAAGCCAGACAAAGGAAAACAAATGCCATCTCCCTTTATCTGGAACCAATGAACAAAATAAATTGATGAGCAAAATAGGCCCAGAGGCATAGATACATGGAACAGACTGACAGATCTTAGAAGAAAGGAGGGTGGAGAGGAAGGGAAGAGACTAACCAAAAACTTTATATGTATATATGCATAGCCTAGGGTGATGGGGCAAGGGTTGGGGAATGAGGGACATCTGTAATACTGTCAGCAGTGAAAAATAAATAAAAACAAACCAAAGAAAAAACACCCACAAGTGTCCAACCATATTTTGCCCTCAAGCCATAGCTGGTGGACCTCTGCTGTAAAATCCTGCTTACGTATTATTTTTCTTCTCTCAGTGTAACTCCTAGGAGGGCAGGAGTTTGGGATGATACATTTACTGCTGTACCCCAGCACTTAGCGCAGGCCCTCCTTCACTTTGCTTTCTCTCAGAAACCTCTGGCAGTCCTTGAACAGTTCCAATTTCACATAAACTCTACTTTAAATCTGCTTCTATTTCTACCCCAGATGTTCTAAAACTGTGGTGTGCCCCAATTCTAAGGAGGAAGAGAGCCAGAGCATATGAGATGAAATTATTCTGTTTATTTCCTTGCCTGTATAGCCTACTTTGCTCCATTAGAACAGTTTCTTGCAAGCAGGAATCTTGTGTTTTGTTCTCCATTAGGTGCCCAGTGCCTGGCACATTTTAAGTAGCTAGTAAATACTTGAATGGATGAATGAATGAACACAATTTTTTGTTTGGATCTTTTAAAAAATATCTGTTGATATGTTGATTAGAGTTGACAATGTGCTGTTCATGTTCTACAAACAACAGGAAACTCAATTGTCTGGAGGGTTGTGAGCAAGGGAGGAAGATGAAAAGTGTATGTGTGTGTGTGTATGTGTGTGTGGTGTATATGTATGCATGCACACACTTGCTTGAAGAATAAAGTGTGTCTTTCTATGAGTAGAGATCAAAGCAGAGAAAGATCCAGCCCCAAATATGAACATTTTGGAGAAGGAAAGTAAGTGGGATTGAAAAGCAAAGGGGAAAGATGAAAATACTATGTTTCTCTGTTTTGTTAAAATGAATAGTCTTGCAATTTATAAATCTGATGAGCTTAAACATTTATTGGTACTAGTCCCACACTTATAAGAAATATTTGAGATGGTTGAAAACAGACCAAAAAACAAAAAAACAAAAACAAACCTCCCCATCCATGGGTACTCATCATAGAAACATAGAAAAGAATCAAAGACCAAGTTATAAATTTATTTAAAAATTAGGCAGGAAAGAAGGGAAAGGAGAGCTTGGAAAGAAATAGCTTTGCCAGAAAATCAAATTTTTGCAATTGAGCCCAAAATGTAACCTTCAAATTCTTGGCAGAAAAGGTACAAAAGAGTAATGTGCTCAATGTGCCAGTAAGAATGAAGGGTAGAGTGTAAATACAAAAGCCTTTTGGAAGGAAGAATTCCTAGAAATTGACTGATTCCTTTGTCTCAAAGGATGCATCATCAAGCACGGCCCTGTTTGACCACGATATTCAAAGATTATGTGTGATGACTGTGCAAATCACTACATACACAAAAAACTCTCTCTGGAAAGTTCCAGATTAACATTTTATTCAGTTTTTCACATGTTATAGTAGTTTAAGATATTCCTATCTCCCAAATCTTCATTTTGCTTTTTTAAAGAGGATACTCTGAGAAATTTTTCCTCAGCAGTTTTACACATTGGTTTTTGTTCATTTTAGTTTCAGCCTATGGGGACTGTGTGCCGAGAAGCAGTAAATGATTGTGATATTCGTGAATCATGCTCAGGAAACTCAAGCCAGGTAATTTACAGAATAATCACTCAACGCCCGATGGGAAAAAGTAGGCATGTCTTCAGTGTACTGACCCCCAGATGACATGGAAATGGACAAGATGCTTCTCTCTCTCTCTCTCTCTCTCTCTCTCTCTCTCTCTCTCTCTCTCTCTCATATAAGTTCTTACTCTACTTTTATTTGTTTTTCAGGAATTCAAATTTCAGTCATCAAAACTTGAGCAGATGTTCAGCATAATTTTGTCTTCACATTGAACAAAGCCAAGATTGCATGCATGCCTTTTTTTTGTTTTAAGTAGAGAATAAAATTCATTGGATTTTTATCTATTTAGTGAAGGAGGAAATAGCTATTTTTTTGTTTTTGTTTTTTAAGTGAAGAATAAAATTCATTACCTTTTTGTCTTTAGTGAAGGAGGGAACAACCAGACTCTCTTCAGCTCTATGAAGAGAACAAGCAAAGGCCAGAGACCCACAGAGCACTGGGTTCTGAAGGAGCCTGTTGCTCTGTCTTGACTCTTGTTTTCCCCAGTTTGCCTCACCTCAGTCACTAACAGCTGCTCTTTGTCGATAGTTGTAAATAGAGAAGATGGGGAAGTTGATCAACTTTGGCTAGGATCCCAGGTTTAGCAGGATCAGTGTATGTACAGTTAGGGAGAGAGGGAAATAAGTAGAAACATCAATGATGAGCGAGAAACATCGATCAGCTGCCTCCTGCACACCCACTACTGGTGATCGGGCCTGTAATTGGGCATGTGCCCTGACTAGGAATCGAACCGTGACCTCCTGGTTCATAGGTCAATGCTCAACCACTGTGCAACACTGGCCAGGCAGTATTTTATTTCTTTGTAAAAAACTTACCAAGAGTAATGCCGCCTTCTTGTTAACCTTAGAAACATCTTTTCCATAGTCTTTTTTTATGTTTTAATCAGCTTTCAACATTTTATCCTTTGAACTTTCAATGTCGTGAACTATCTCCAAGAGATGTAAAAATGTCGATGTGAAGTTTTTTGCCAAATAGCACTATCAACATTCCCATAGTCAGTGATTTTTTTCTATAACAACGTTTACTTTTGCTTAAAATTTCACTTCATGTCTTCACTTTCCTTCCCTCCCTCCCTCCCTCCCTCCCTCCCTCCCTCCCTCCCTCCCTCCCTCCCTCCCTCCCTCCCTCCCTCCCTTCCTTCCTTCCTTCCTTCCTTCCTTCCTTCCTTCCTTCCTTCCTTCCTTCCTTCCTTCCTTCCTTTCTTCTTTCCTTTCTCTGTACTTTTGTCTTTGTTGGCTAGTTTTCTCTTTGTATTATCCAATTTTGTAAAATGCCACATGTTATCTCCCAAAGACAGAGAGGCAATACAACTACACATCTTGTTGTCTGTCCATGAACTAAATATACAGATGGCAAGTGACCAGCCACTGAGAGGCTTTGAAAGAGTGACAAGCTAGGTCATTCACCTGTTGTTTACCTAGTGATCACTCAACTGAAGAGCTAGTAGTAAAAGCTTGTGCTTTATGCAGTTACTCACCATCAATATATTATGGGAACCTATACTGGAACTGTGTTGTTGGGGTACTAGTGTTCTTCAACAATACTGTGATACCCGAAATTCACGCCTATTGGGGCTATGTGAAGCTAGGCCTGCCTTTGTATTTTTCCCTCTAGAAAAGAGGGATTCAGTGGTTGAAAATTTACATCCTGCTCACATGACCCTTGTTCTTGGTTCTTTCTCCTCTTTGTTTTTATGTGGTACATCTACCTTAACCATTAAAAATGCTTTATTTTAAAGGTAGTTATCCTAAAAGACCAAAGATTTTTCATGTAAAAGTATTTTCCTTTCTTATTTAATTAGCATTGCGTTTCTAAGCTAACAGTGGTGATGAGGATACAATGAAATGGTGGATATACAAAGATATTCCTGTTGCATTAGTTGTCACAGCTTAAATTGGAGACAGAGCAGGTCCTGGGATAATGGTATTTTGTTCAAAGCCATTTTATTATACAACATTGATGAGATGCCACAGGGATGTAAAGTCTTGTTTATTTAAGTTATCCTGTGCTAAAATTGGTTTCATTACACAACATTTCTCTTTAAATCACAGAGCCTATCAAGCCAATGAGTACATTGGTTATAGGATGTTAGCTCCATGCAATGTATTATAGTTATTAAAAATGCAAAAAAGTTTATGATGATGAGGAAATTCGTAAGTAAAGGAAAGAAGCAGAATATAAAACATTTTCTATACTTTGATTTTATCTATGTTTTAAAAAATATCAAAACTTGTAGAAAAAGGTAGAAGAAAAACTGTAACAAAATGTAAAACATAACTGCCTTTGAGGGGTGGGGATTTGAGAAACTTTTGTCTTCCACTTTAATTTTGCATTTTTACATTATGTAAACTTTTCTCAAATGAGTATATAATTACTATAATGATAGAAAAAATGTATCATAAATTTAAAAATTCCATAAGAATGCTTTGGCGTTTTCTGTACTTACTATAAGGTATAAGGGGGCGCTATAAAGCATGTGTTTTTCTAACATGTGCAACTAGGAGTTCTGCCTGAGAGTCATTTTGGGTGGAAGGGCTGTGCTGCTTCTCACAGAAATGAAGAAATAGAGTTATTGCTCCATCCATCCTGATATCCTCCTTGCTTTTGTTTCATGCTTTTCTTTTACTCTTTTTGAGGAATAGGGTTTCTGTATAGAGTAAGATGCTCTTACATATTAGCATTAGCTGAGGCCTTGCTGTCATTTCTTTCTGTTTGCTGCCAGGCTGTCCATTGTGTTTGCCGCTGATGGGTCGGAGTTTTTAGGGGAAAGTGAACAAGTTGTTGTATTTCCTTTTGCTTCTTCTTCTTTTTTTTTTTCCCCTCAAATATTTTAAGTCAGCAAATGTATTCTCCTACTTTATTTTTAAAGTGAACGCATTAAAGGGATTAGCTCATTTTGATATTTTGTTGCACATTTGGTTCATAGTTCTGTTTTCTTTTCCCAGTGTGCCCCAAATATTCATAAAATGGATGGATATTCATGTGATGGTGTTCAGGTAGGTTAGTTCATTGTTACCTTTGTGTGTGTGTGCGTGTGTGTGTGTGTGTGTGTGTGTGTGTGTGTACCAGCATGAAACAAGTACTGAAATCTTATCAAGATAGGAACCTTAATTTAAATGTTTCATAATAAATTCTGAAGATGAAAGGCCTTTATAATACCCTTTGACTAGTTCTCCTGGTCAGACTTAGCTTTTCAGTTACCTGACATCAGCAGACATGGCATGGCTCACAGGTATGCTTTTCCATTTTAGGGGATTTGCTTTGGAGGAAGATGCAAAACCAGGGATAGACAATGCAAGTACATCTGGGGGCAAAGTAAGTAAACAGTGTGGCCCTATCATTTGCACGTGTGGTACCAGGCCAAGGGTCATGTGATCTGGAAGTACATTTTCAACCACTTGAAGAGCGATGAAGCCTTCAAACCACCACCCCTCTCAGCAGGGGCACTTTTGTGGAAATTAGAGAAGGGCACTTCTGAGAAGACACAGCCCTACACATCTTGGGTAGCTGGCAGTGCCTTCAGATGAGACAGATGGTGCCTTCGCTGCCAGGCAGGTGGTCTGTGCCAGGTGTGCAGCTCAGAGAACAGGACAAACATGGGTTTTAGCTTCATGTACACTCTCCACAGCTGAGTGTCCTTAAGCAAAACCTGTGCAGCCATATGGGATGGACACGGACCCTGGCTAGGGAACTGTGGCATTGGAACTGGAGCATTTTTGCTCGAGTTGTTTTTTTCTCCCTCAACTATCTTGAACTCTAGCTGGATTTTCTACTTATTGGTGACCTGCTGAAGTAGCTCTGCTATATCAGAGAGAAATTTTAATATTATTCCCTTTACTAGTAAAGTTTGTTAAATTTTCATAGGGAATTATACAACAGTTATATATAAAATATATTATTGAAATTATATATTTATATTTAAAATATATTTAAATGTATTTTTTTCAGAACTATAATCTGCCCCTTTGGAAGTAGTTTTTTTAATTTTATTTTATTTGTTTTTGTGTTTTTTTTTTAGAGTCTTTCAAAAGACAATTATCATTAAAGAAAATGATAACCCTTAATTGTCACAAACTGGCTACAATCCCTTTGTAAGAGGAAGTGTGTGTTCTCTTCTGAATAATTAGAGAAACATTGGGATGGGGGGAAATTTTAATCATACAGGTTTGTACTCTGAACAAAGAGTTTTGTTTCCTCCTCTTGAGAATAACCATAGGAAAAGAGAATATCAACATAATTATTATTACTTTTTTTTATAATATAAACCAACACTCATCTTTTGATCAGTTTGCAAAAGTCATTTGATTTTAATTATTGGAAAACTTCATCAACCAATTCCAGCTTCAGCAAAAATAATATTTTGACAAAGATACTGACACAACTTCAAATGTGATTTAACTCTCAGAGATTTGGTATGAATTCAAGTTTTTCTAAAAGCAGAATGAAGTTTTTATATATATATATTATTAATTTCTGAGAGAGAAAGGGAAATGAAGGGGGGGGGAATAGAGAGAGAGAGAAACATCAATTGTGAGATAGAATCATTATTTGGCTATCCCCTAACAGGGATTGAGCCTTCAACCTGGGCATATGCCCTGACTGGAAATTGAACCACGACCTCCCGGTTCATGGATTGATACTCAACCACAAGAAGTTGTGTGTTTTTTGGATGATAGCTGTTGATAATTAGTAAACAAGGTAGAAAGTATACCACTGTTTCTTGACTTTTTAATTTTAGTGCATAATTATTTTAATAAAATTGTCTTTATGATTAATAAAAGTTATTGAGTGAGCAATTTGTGTTTTATATTTGGCCCTGAGGTTGACGTTTGGGTTATTTATTCAAAGAACCATTTGGTAGCATCTTTCCCTAATTATTGGCCAAATTCTGAGGAGTGTTGTTCTTGGAACCTATAGTTGAAACATATCAAAGAGATAATAGATTTGTTTTCCAAATTTCAAATGAGCAGTCATGAAAAATGTACTAGTACGTGAGCCGTAGATGTCTAAGGGAAGGAAAACTCTTGTGAAACCTGGGCACACTTTTAGAACCGATAGCAGGGTAGTGAAGGAGTCCTTAAATGCTATTTCCCTACAAACACTTCGAGCAGCTCATGTTGTATCTACCACTGATAGAAAATTCTGTTCTGCTTCAGAGGTGATGGCATCAGACAAATACTGCTATGAGAAACTGAACATTGAAGGGACTGAGAAGGGCAACTGTGGGAAAGACAAAGACACGTGGATACAGTGCAACAAACGGTGAGGTGCACAAGTCACCCCAGGTTTCTCCCTCAGCTAACGACACACATTACTTTCTAAGCCAGCAGGACTTTTCTGTTTTCTGCATCCCACGGAGCAGTGTGCTGCCTCTCGTCTCCTCCCACTGTTCCAGCATCATCTCTGCAGATGGCTCCCACGTCTTAACACGTATGCTCACCTCTCTCCGAAGGCCTCAGTCATGCTTACACAGCTGCCTCAGGACTTTCTCACCTGGAAGACATCTGCCAGCATCTCAAAAGAAAAATTTAAAAATAAAGCCACCAGAATACATACTCACTTAACTGGCTCTGATTTCCCAAAGGTCTTAATATCTCACGGTCCTCTGATTAGAAGCCTCAGAATGATCCTGGACTCCACCTTCCCCCTGGCACATTGTCCAAATGCATGTCATGTCCATTCTTCCCCTTCACTCCCCCACCATTTGTCTTTAATCCATCCTTTCATTTCTATTCCTATTGCCTTAAGTATCCCACTAAGACCTGCACTAACTCTTCAGCTATTATAAAGGCCTCTAAATAGGTTTTTTTTTTTTTTTTTTTTTTTATGCCAGCAGTCTCTAACAGGCTGCCCTCAGGATACTCTCCCGACTCATTTTGACCATGTCAACTCTTTGTTCAAATTTCACTGATTCCACATAGCTAATTACTAGTAAGAACACCATTCAACGTGGATTGAGTACACACTGTGTACTACACACTGTGTTATGCTTTACATGAGCTATGCCATTTGGTCTTTATGTCAGTTCTCCCCATTTTATGGAAGAGGAAACTGAGGCATAGTTTACTAATTTGACTAAGATCTTATAATGAAGATGTAACAGCAGCAGAATTGGAATTCAGGCAGTCTGATTTCAGAAACTCTATTGTAAGGACTTTGGAGAATGTCATACTATTTTGCTTAAAAAACACAATGGAACCTTAGCTTGGCATTGTACCTCCTCCACAATTTGCCCCCATTTTGTGTGTGTTTCCTTCTCCACTCTTCCAGAGCCTAGCATGCCTTTCACCCCTAATATGTGCACTGTATTGTCTGAACTCTGTGCCTGTGCCTGTGCTAGTCATTCCCCTGGAAGCACTCTTTATATCCCCTTCATGACGAGTCAGAAATGTATCCATTCTTCAGAGATCTGCTGGGGCAATACTTTCTCTATAAATTATTTCTGGATTTCATTTAGAAATAAATAATTTCCCCCTTTTCCTCAGAATTCCCACAGCCCTTTGTACTGTTCTTATGGCCCTTGTCCCCAACTCTATGTTCCATAGTTGTTTATGCATGTGATTTCTTTTTTCATCCAGCATCTAATTTCCTTCAGGATAAAAATCATGTCTAATTTTCTTTATATATCTTAAAGTACTTCATAAGCTACATACACAGAAAGGACACTAAAAAATGTTGACAATCTTTTCCTGTGTTAAGAAGCATTTTTATTTATGACAGGCATTTTAAAAATGGTACAATGTTTAAACATTATTTTTTGGAAATGAATCAATACATTTTTTCTTATGTTGGTGATTGATACAAGTCCTAATTTTTCCCTTTTGTCTACCTGATAAAGCCTAATATTTTCATATGTGCTCTTGAAGGCCTACTAATCCGTCTTTATAAGATACTGATTAGAATATGGTTTATCATTATCTACATTAATAATTAAAATGTGCTAGGTACAGAGATCATGTAAGATAGTACTTAACACTAGTGAAAATATTTTAGAATTCAATTAGAATTGATGTGATATTGGAGAAGTAGGGAAATACATTGAGCCTAAGTTGTCCAGAATCTATAGAGTGCGTGCGTGTGTGTGTGTGTGTGTGTATGTGTGTGTGTGTATGTGCACGCACACGTATGTAATTCCTTTTTTAATTATGGGGCAACAAGCTGAAGAAAAAGCTGTATTCCAAAACAATAATCATCCAAAGGTCATTCATTCACTTATTAAATATTTAAAAAGTGTTTTAGCATATCCAGTGGCATGTTATAGGGAGACAGAGTCATACATAAAAGAAGTCTTTTTGATGGGTAATTTCCTTTCTATTAATATTTGAACTAGTGGATAGTAAAGAAAAAGCTAGAGAGTAGTTGAGATGTTGGTGCACCAAGAAGAGTTTCAGATTTTTCAAAATCAGAGGGGACATGTTTTAGGTCTGGAATAAACTAATTTGGGCTTATTTTATTTTTCTTGTGACACGAACAAATATATAGTTGATAAAAAATAAATGCTAAAATGAGATAAGATTATTGTTCTCACTGCACATGGTTGTAAAGTAAATACTTGGTACTCTTTTAACACAGGGATGTGCTTTGTGGCTACCTCTTGTGTACCAATATTGGCAATATCCCACGGCTCGGAGAACTTGATGGTGAAATCACATCTACTTTAGTTGTGCAGCAGGGAAGAACATTAAACTGCAGGTAAATATCACTGACCATCCATGAAAACATTAGTCATCTTCTAAGAATGAAGTTCAGGATTAATAAATTAGTAGATTTTGACATTTACTAATAAAGAACTAAGTTATCTATTTGACTCTTTAAACTCTATGCACGTATAATTTTCATGAAAATGAATAAAAATAATGGAGCTATCGACATGGTACCATATGGATAAATTGATTATGAACATACATTTTCAATATCTATTATTTATTTTTTAAGTTTCTACATTCATTGCAGGCTTGCTATGGTGAATGTACAATAGTTAAGCCATTCTCAAATGTAATTTGTAAATATAGCAATCATTGCGCACACACACACACACACACACACACACACACTCTTTGGCTTATGTTAAGCCAAAAAAAGAATCTCACCCATAGAGATAATTGAGTAGATTCGGACAGAAAAGAGCAAAAAGAAGATAAGAATTAGGGTTTAATTTGCATTTTATTCTTGTGAAGGAAAAAGAATGTGAATTTTGGGGTGAAATCATATGTATGTTCCTTTTTTCTCTTCTGAGATTCCACCAAAATGACACTCAGTGGTTTTTTTAAAGTTCATATATTCACAGGGAGGCAGAGAAAGGGAGAGGTGACGATAGCAACAACATCTTGGAATGTGGAAAGCAAATGGATGTGACAAATGAGTATCAAAATTAAGAAAGCTAATTTGAGAACTAAGCCAATATATACTGCTAGTTCTCAAAAAACTAAAATAAAAAAAGTGCAATGTCATTTACTGTGGAAGAGGGAAAAAAGGATTAAGGGACAGGAAAGGGGGGCTAAAATACAATTTATTAAAGAAACACTACAAATTACTTCCTGGCTCAGCTACAGTGGGTATTGTTCATCCTCCCAGGAAAGATTTGAGCTTTATATCCCGAGAAAGTAAAATAGAAGGTGTGCAGATTGAAGAATAACAGACAATATTGATATCAAGGTTGTATGAAGTGGTCCAGTCTCACTGATGTTTTCACTCAGAAAGCCCTGAAATTTCCAAACATCTGTCTAGTCCCATACCACAAATATGAGCCGATTATCAGCTATGTGAAGAAAGTCTCTAACGTGAAGAAAAATAAAGAGATAAAAACAACCAACTAGAAAAACCACCCATCAATTTTTAGGAGTGATAAGGTATACATATCATGAAACAAGAATAAGTGTTATTTTCCAAAATGAAGAACATTCAGAGAAGGAAAACGTACTATTGAAAGTTAAAAATATGATTAAACTCAGTAGTTGAAATTTTTTTATCCAGAAAATAGGGCAAAAGAGGGAAAGACATTAACATATAGAAGAGCTCATCAAATTAGGATTGAAATAATAAAGAAATAATAGAGAAAACTGCAGAGAGTACAGGGTCAATGAGTAACTCAAGAGTATTGTCTAGAGCTGATGAACTTGAATTTCTTGAATTTCTGATGGGCTTACCCAGTACAATAAGTGAAATTAGAGGTACATTTAAACATATGATCATGAAATTTCAGAACATTGAATTTTTTTTCAATATTTCCAGAGAGGAGGGGGAAAAAAAGATCAGGCATTGAGATCTATAAATAGGAGCCCTGGGAGCCAGAAGACAATGAGAAAATGTCTCCCAAACTAGAGTTTGTACCCAGATAAAATATCAATCAGGGATGAGGATAGAAAATGACACTTTTAGAAATGCAAGTTCCCCCCAAATTTCCTTCCTTAAATCTTTTCTCAGGAAGCTACTGGAGATTGTTCTGCACCAAAATGAAGGAGTTAGCTAAGAAAGAGAAAGGCAGGGAATTTAGGAATCAAGATCCCCACCTTGAGGTGAATGGTGACAGGAAATCCAAGATGCACAACTGTGCCCTGGTGCAGAGGACAGCTAGATCAGATGGGTGCGAAGGGAGTCCAGATGGGAACTCCCGAAGAGAGTCCACAGAAAGATGAAGTGATGTTTAGATGCATCTTTCATGGAGATTTTGACATTTACTAATAAAGAACTAAGTTATCTATTTGACTCTTCAAACTCTATGCATGTATAATTTTCATAAAAATGAATAAAAATAATGGAGCTCTTGACATGGTACCATATGGATAAATTGATTATGAACATACATTTTCAATATCTATTTATTTTTTAAGTTCCTACATTACATGCAGGCTTGCTATAGAGAATGTACAACAAGTAGTTAAGCCATTCTCAAATGTAATTTGTAAATATAGCAATCATTTTGGGAAATGTAATCTAAAGTCAATTCTTATTTTGTTCAAAATGTGTTTGAAATCTTAAAACTACAGACTTATCAAATCAATTAGTAGCAATAATAGCTTATTTGACTTGTACATGATATCCCAGGCCAAATGATAAAGCTATTTAAATCCAAGCACTATTATAATAATTATATTGAAATTCTAAAATATGTTAGTATCTCTGAAAAGAGTTAGATCAAAAGATTAAATTGCTTTCTCTGTTTATCAGAAAACTTACATTACCATTTTTTTATTAGATAATAAATAGAGGAAGTGACATTGCCTACTTTTTTTTAGTGTTATGCATATTCCCAAAATGAATGTGAATGAATGGAATCCATTTTTTTCTCTCTATTTATTTTCAGTGGTGGGCACGTTAAGCTTGAAGAAGATGTAGATCTTGGCTATGTGGAAGATGGGACACCGTGTGGTCCCCAAATGATGTGCTTAGAACACAGGTGTCTCCCTGTGGCCTCCTTCAACTTTAGTACTTGCTTAAGCAATAAAGAAGGCATTGTTTGTTCAGGAAATGGAGTGAGTATTCAGTGCCTTGCCATGGGGAATTACTCATTTCTTTTGTATCAGAAATAGATATGACCCTAAACTGCTTGTTTCTGTAATAATACAAACCATGCTTGTCCATGTTTATAAGCAGATATGTAAACAGTTATTTTGTCCATGTTTCTAAGCAAATATGTATACAGTTATTTTGTCATAGTCATTTGAATATTTCTGTCATGTCCTCTGCAAAAGCCTAGAAATAAAAAACAGTATAACTTCCTAACCAAATGCTTTCCCATTATGTTAGTGTGATCTCATCTATACTAATAAAATGGTAATATGCTAATTAGACCGGGAGAGCTTCCAGGAGACCTTCCCAGTATCCTTCCAGACAAAGCTATGGTGGTGGGGCCTAGGCAGAGGTAGTTAGAGGCAATCAGGCCGTGAGGGGAGGGAAGTTGTGGGTTATCAGGCCAGCAGCGGGGGAAATTGGGGGCGATCAGGCCAGCATGGGGAGGACAGTTAGGGGCAAGCAGGCTGGCAAGGGGGGTAGTTGAGGGTGATCAGGCTGTCAGGGGACAGTTGGGGGCAAGCAGGCTGGCAGGTAGAGTGGTTAGGGGTGGTCAGGCAGGCAGGCAGGTGAACGATTAGGAGCCAGTGGTCCCGGATTGCAAGGGGGATGTCCGACTGCCGGTTTAGGTCTGATCCCAGGACATCCCCCGAGAGAGTGTACAGGCTGGGCTGAAGGACACCCCCAACCCCCATGCATGAATTTTATGTAATGGGCCATTAGTATGCCAGTTTTCTGCAAGTGATCTAAGAGACAAATTTCAACAAACTATAGTGGTATTAGAAAGGAGTAAAAAGCAGGGCAGTGGCCACAATATTAAACAACTGGTGAGGCCCAGGCACTGGCTGATTAAGACAGACCATAGTAACTGTAGCCACACACATGTGGCTCTTTGGCCCCTTGAGTGTGGCTCTTCCACAAAATACCATGGCCTGGGTGAGTCTATTTTGAAGAAGTGGCATTAGAAGAAGTTTAAGTTTAAAAAAAAATTGGCTCTCAAAAGAAATTTCAATCATTGTCCTATTGATATTTGGCTCTTTTGACTAATGAGTTTGCCGACCACTGGCCTAGACATAAAAACAGTTTAGGAAAACGTTTCTCACTGACACATAGAAAGAGTGGCCTGTTTAAAAGACAAAATTCTGTTCTTTCGGTCATGTATCTATAGAAATGTTTATAGGTTAAAGAAGCCTGCTCTATTATTGATTACATTTTGTCTTTTTTTTAGTCAGGAAGTCCTATACTAATGAAACCGTTTCTGGTTCTTTTTCTTTCGGCATATGCTGTGATTTCCTTCTTACCCTCATTCAAGATTCACTGCTTGAACTGGTATATTAGCCGGTTGAGGGATAGGATCTCTGTCCTGGAATTGTGAGCCTGCAGCCCTCGTCATTCCATGCATGTCCCCAGGGATATGCCAAGAATTTCCTTAGGGAGGACTTGCTCTTTTCCATTGGATAGGAATTCTTATTGCACAGGAGACCAGAGAAGGCTTACTTAGTATATTAAGTAGCTCTGTTTCTTTTAAGGGCTCTGCTAAGTCTCCTTTCCTTAAAAAGAGGATGCTAGGGGAAATACATTTTGGATGGACAGTGGAAAAGAAAAGATTTTTCTTGATCATTCATGCTAATGAATTGCCATACCTTATTCACCTAGACTTTTAGTACCACCAGACTTAGATTTGCATCGTTCATGATATAAATTTTAGTCTTGCAAGATAGCTATCTCTCTCTTAAAACCAGATCAGGCTAGCAAATGATATAAAAGCTTTGTTTTGTTGTTGTCGTTGGTTTTTGTTTTATAAGACAAAGGCAAGCTTCCCTAAGCTTGAATTTATAGCTAATAAAAAAAAAGAAAAGGGGGTGAAGGAGTGGGAAATAAGACACAAGGAGAAACGATCTGGGCAGTAAAAAAGTTCTTTTAAACCAGAAAAAAATAAAAGATGGTGATGAAATGGGGAATCAAACTCTGGCTTTCTGACTCTAAACCTAAAGCTTTTTCTTCTTGCATATTTGTTAATCTGCAGACATTTATTTGAGATATGCAGTTTGTTAATCATATATATATATATTTTTTTTTTTTAATATTCCCCCCGAGGATATTTTTCCCATTGATTTTCAGACAGAATGGAAGGGAGAAAGAAAGTGGGGAGGGATAGAGAGAGAAACATCAACATGAGAGAGACACATTGATTGGTTGCCTCCCTCACAAGCCTGGACCAGGGCTGGAGATCAAACTCACAACCCTTCAATCTGCAGACTGACACTCTAACCACTGAGCAAAACTGGCCAGGGCTGTTAATCATATCTGACAGTTACATTTTGCTGTGGATGAATGCCATCCTCTGACAAATTAGATCAGACAAAAGACAGCTACCCAGTGAAAACTACTGAAGAATTCTGATCTCCAACCCAACTAAATTCTCCCCGACTTCCCACTCCATTGGAAGTGGCTTTGAATTGTAAGATCTAGGTATAGGTTTGGTCTCCTGGATATGTAATGCAGACAGATTATCTGATAAATTTTTAAAATGTGGTTTGAGGGAGCTCTTGTTTTCCATGACCTTGAGGGAGCTCGTCTCTGTAGCGTGTGTTGAGGTGCCAAGGTTATGGCTTTGTAAAGCTTTCCTCCCAGACCAATGCAAAGCGTCAGGCTTCTTCGTCAGGCTTCTCTTGATCTTACCTGCTTCCTAAAAGATGAATAGTTTAATTATAAAGATTCTTTGGAAGAAAGAAACCTTTGTATTGGATAATTGGACAACGATTTTATTTCTGCTTAGTTTTTAAAATCTCCCTGTTATAAAATTTAAGTGAATGAAATTCGGAACAAGAACTTCACTGATGTTTTTAGACATAGACATTTATTTCTCTGTTAAAATGTATTATTCCCTTTGGGTCAACCGTTGATCTCTTGAAAATATTTTTTAGGTACGTGGGTAAGGAATAAGTAATTAGCATTAGGAAGGAAGTACTGATAATTTTTCAGTCCTATCAAATTCTAGGCATATAATAATTAGAAATTAATGCTTGTTTTTCATGCCTCTGCACCAGACAGCTGACTTTTCCTCTGGGTTGATTTTGGATTTCAGGTTTGCAGTAATGAGCTGAAGTGTGTGTGTAACATGCACTGGACCGGTGCTGACTGCAGCACATACTTCCCTCTCAACGATGATGAAAAGGCTGGTATAACTCTGTCTGGCAATGGTAAGTTGAACTTGGTACCATTATGTAGCCTTTATACACAAGGAAGGAGAACACTGTGCTTCAGATAGTTTCATTTGGATTATTGTTATCACTCAAATATCAATTAAATTCAGACAATAATGAGTTATAATAAGTAGTGAGGCCCACACTGTGAAACTGATCATTTCCATTAACTTGTAATGTTATGTAGTATTGAATTTAGTATTCAGACTGAGATTTCTTTTATAAGTTTTTTTGTGCAGTACTTGTTTGGGGATGACAACAAACCTTAGCATTTTTTTTTTTAATTAAGAAAGTAGTCATACTTAATTTCTGAATTTAAAAGAGTAATTTTATATTTTGGGACTGAATAAATAAGAAAAGAAATAGAATTGATTTCTTAAATTCTAGTTGACTTTAAAAAATTATCTTTATGTTGAAAGTATTACAAATGTCCAAATTTTGGTTGACTTTATTTTTTTGTATTATAGATTCTCTTTTGTCTTCAACATCAGTTCTATAGCCTGAACTGTGTGTAATTCTAGAACTAGTAATGTTGGCTCGAGTGTTCAGAAAGGGCTTATGGATATGGGTCAGAAATAACAGGTGCAGTTCTAAAAGCTAGAGTGGCCCAAATGGATTAAAGAATGCTCAAATCCTAAAACAAGTTCATCTCCAAAGGATGAGGGAAAAAAAAAAAAAAAGGTTCATTCTGACCACACAGACAGGTTAAAAATCTTAGCCAATGTGACTCTAATCATAAAGTTTAGAATAATTAGGAGTTTGGTATATACCCTCGCCAGTTTGACTCAGTGGATAGAGTACTGGCCCAGGGACTGAAAGGTCTTGGATTTGATTCTGGTCAAGGGCATGTACTTGGGTTGCAGGCTCCATCCCTCCGCTCTGGTCGGCAGTTCCAGAGGCAACCAATTGACCTGTCTCTCTAATATTCTCACATTGATGTTTTTTCTCTCTTGGGTCTCTCCCCTGTCCCTTCCACTCTCTCTAGAAATCAATGGAAAATTATTCTCAAGTGAGGATTGAAAAAAAAAGAGTTTGGTATCTGAAGTCTTAGCAATGGTGGTCTGGAGCTTGTTCCAGAAGTTTATGCAGAGGTGCTGCTATTCAGGGCCATAAACTTAAGTTACTTGTCAAAAGTCACACCATTATGTAGAAATAATCAGGGCAAGAATTGGAACATACACAATATTGATGCATATTGCTAAGTTATGGTTGATTTTTCTTCCCGTTAAAAAAATACCTACTTGTTAAAAATATCTTAAAATAATGTTGTTGGTGTGAGGATTGCAAATGTGGAGAATAAATTCCTAAAAGAATTTTATATAAAAATTTCAATCCCAGAGATTGATTTTCATTGTTCCTTTTTTCTCTCCAGGTGTTGCTGGTACCAATATCATAATAGGCATAATTGCTGGCACCATTTTAGTGTTGGCCCTCATATTAGGAATGACTGCATGGGGTTATAAGTAAGTGAAATATCTCAGTATTTTTACTATCAAAATACAATTTAAAACATTTTGTTCAAGGGAATTAAACACCTATAAAATTTTGTGTCAGTGAAAATCGGGCTCAATATTCAATCAATTATTGTACTTGGCATGATTCGAGGTGATAATAATTTATCGTTTTTTGTTTTTAGAGTTTGAGATAATTCCCATCTGTTCTAAAAGTACTGAATATAGTCTTAAATATTATGACACACCAGTGATGTTTCTATATCTCTCCCTCTCTGAAATCAGTAAAAATATATCTTTAAAAAGAAACCCATTATGTGAAGTAAAATCAGTCTAAATTGTATCTTACACAGAGACTGTGTTGGTTTACTCTTTGAGCGGCACAGACTCTCTCTTGCCCTAAACCATACCCAGAAATGTAAGCAAGATTGTCAATTAGAGAGCACAGTGCTTTAATAATAACAGTCATAGCAACAAGACAGTAGCCACAGATCTGATACCTGGTGCTTGTGACTACTGTGCCTGGGGCGGAGGGCAAAACCTCTTCATCTGCACAGCCAGTGTAAATGAGGCATCATTTGTTAAATATGTGGGTGTTTTTTGTGTGAAGAAAAGACTGCTTAGAGGTGTTTGTTAAAATTGAAATTCAACTTTAAGTTGTAGCTTTTAAAAGCCCAATTCCTTTCTATGCGTCAAAGTTCACCTTGCAATTTTTGGGGGGGTTCAATTTATAAAATTTTAAAAGTTATGCCATATAATTTTTGAAACTCAGATCCCCTTAAGCATTTAGCTAAGTAAATGGCTTCAAATATTCCAAACATTTACATGTTAAGTATGTTCCATTTACTTAAATACTTCAATCTTATGATGTGAAAACTGTCCTTAATATTCAAATAACTTATTTAATGTTAATAAATTAAAACTTAAGCAAGGTGAACCTGAAGGTCTCTTTAATATTTCAGCGTAAAGCTCATAGTTGTGCTGATTCTGATGCTATATCAGCTCCCAGCCCTAGAGTTTCTCCATTTGTGAGTCCTGTGACTTTTGCTAGGCTCTCTGCACATTCCCTTACTCTATAGCATTTCCCCCCCTCATAGACCAAACTTAGTTCAATGAAGACTTGGGAATTAGAATGTTTCAGACTTTAAAATTCCTCCAAAGCTTTCAATAGACTAGGCACTGTGTAATTGTTTGCTGTTATTATTAGCACCTGACATGATCTTAAACCAGTTGAATCTAAGGGAATACTTTTAAAAGTGTATGAGGCCGCTGCTTATGGTGAGGTCTGAACCCTGAAGAAGGTTCTTTGACTGAAACGAAGTGAGTGGTCAGTTTGTTTGCTGCGAGCATTGAAATACAGAATGCCATTTGACGAAGGCATTATTATCATCACACAGACAGCATAGTAGTATTTAGCATACAAGCAAGGAGAGCACAGCATAGTAGTAGTAATGGTTTGCCTGATTAAATGAATGTCTCACTCTGTACCAGCTCATAGATGCTCAATACCTCTCTCTGGGCCTCTTTGATGTGCAGGGCATTAGGTGTATTGTATTCTTACACTTGCATGGGCTGATTTCAGCCTACCATTTGGAGTTATAAAGTGATAGCTCAAAAGGAAGGCTTTTCTACATACTGTTTGATCTCCCCTCACACCTCAGGTGAATTAACTCCATCTTGGAGCTACACAATATCCTTGACTTGCCTGATGCAAGACTTATGTAGTAATTGCCATCACAAATGTTGTTTTGAAGTAGCTCAGTGGTTTCATTTCCATGTGAAAGGGGAAGCAAAATTGTTAGTTCTGTATTGTGTGATTTTCTGCCACCTACTGATGCAAGTTGTTATTTCATTTTTAATGCATTCTTAAAATTCTGTATTGATTTGAGAGAGAGAAACATTTTATTGATGTGAAAGACAAACATTGATCTGTTGCCTCCCACTCATGCCCCAACTAGAGATCAGTGTAAAGAGATCGAACCCACAACCTGGGTATGTGCCCTGACCAGAAATCAAATCTGTCACTTTTTGGTATAAGGGATAGCACTATCAAGTGAGTCACACCAGCCAGGACAATATTTCATTTGTAGAATCTTGGAAAAAATAACCTTTCAGAAAATATGAAATCCTAAACATCTTCTATTGCTAATTTATTTTAATGATTAGAATTAAAAGTACTTTTTTCTGTATATCATTTCTTATTTTATGAAAATTTTTGAAGTGTCATAGTTTTTATTTCTAAATATATGTACTTTGCAGATTCATTAAGGAAAAAGACAATTTTTTTCTTTACTGCAGTATCGTCTTCATAAATAATTTGAACCTAAGTGATGAAAATTTTAATGTTACTAAACTTAGAAATAATATGTTTAGAAATAGAATGAGAATGTAGAAAATGTTAATACAGAAATTAATTTTATTAATATGATATTCCACATATTCTATTTCAAATTCAAAAAATGGATTTAAGTCCGGAGAGCTCATTTATTTTCTCATTAATCCTACCAATTAAACTTTCTATCCCTTAGTCAAGCCTTAGAGTGAGTTGGGAAATAGCAGAATAGGAAATAAAAAATACTCATTGGAAACTGGGGGACCACTCAGGTAATCAGATTGAGAGAGAAAAAAAAAGTAAAATATGTTGAAAAAAAAGATTCAGGGCTTATATTTCCCCCCATCTAATGGTTTCAGGAATGAAAAATAAGTAACTAATTGGCACTTTTAACCTCATTAACTCATTATTAAACGAGATATTTATTGGCCACACAGAAAAGATCTGCAGGTAACGGTGCTCCAGACAAAATCCATGAGGAAACATTATCTTGACCTTGGAGGAAAGAGCCCACTATTCAATTAGCTGACTTTTCTAACTTGTCCTCAAAATATTAACACCTAATTAGGTAATGATAGAAAATTATAAATTAACTCTTTTGAGTTTAAAGTCACTGGTGCCTCAATACCACATCCCCTAGAACACCCTCCCTCCCCCAGATTGGTTTATTTTAAAACATGTAATTTTATTGTAGTATATGACCATGTAAAATACCGGAGACTAAACTTTGAACACAGTATTTCTAATGTGAAGCTTGTGAGTAAGTGGTAATAACTTAGGAGGCCCATAATAGCTGGAAATTAACTCACTCTAATTTATCATACATGATGAAATAAAATGTCCTAATGTCCACTTATCTTCTTCTACTTTAAATCCTTAGGTGTAGTTTTAGTTTGGGTATATATTATATCTAAAAAGGAATGTATTATGATTTTTATTTTTAAAACAATTTATATAAGTAACTTGATTACTTAATTTTATTATTTAAAGCAATATAAAGTCAACCTTTATTTGAAACAGGGTTGACTTTAGAACTTACTAAATATAGTGTTTAATATGATGCAATAGATATTGAGAAAAGTTACTCTTTAATAGCTGAAGTTTTTATGCTTTAAAAATAGTTACTTGAAAATGTTGTCATTAATCCTTTGGTGTCTCTTCTCCTAAAGATAAGTGAAATATGTGTTTTTATGACTTTGGATTCCTGTTTTAACTCTGCTAGTCAGCCTCCTATAGTGGAGACCTTTCAATGAATGCTAGAGCCTTTATGTTTAATGCTCTCTCTTAATGTACTTTTGTAGTTAATTAATTCTTTTTTCCCCCCTCTCTACCTGCCCATGAAAAGAAACTATCGAGAACAGAGGTATGTGATGAGAATAATCAACATACATACAACTGAAAGTTTTAAATCCTATTTGCATCTTTGGAATTCATACATGCAATTATAAGTCAGGTTTACTTTTTTTATGCTGTAGTAGTCATACACTAATCTTGATTTTTCATGACCTTAAAATGGTAATTTTAATAATGGTGCTGTGAAATGTATTAATTTTAAATATTATTTAATTTTAATGTTTTTTCATCCAGCAATATTATAATAATTTGGAAAACTTTTAGAGTAATCTATGGGGGAATTGATTTTTTTTCCTTCTAAAACAAGTGTCCTCTATGTTAAGGTGTCACCGTTTACATTAATTAGCTTTCCTTCATGTTTATAACACTATTATTGCCTCGTACCTTTGGAGGGGATTTATTGTTTATTTGTTACTGTTGTTATATCAGTAACTTCTGCTCACAAGTGATACAATTCCTATGGGCACATTGTTGTGATCTGGAGAATGTCCTGGCACGTGATGAGCCTGCATAAGAAAATAATATTTTACTGAATAGATAATTGTACAGGTAGTTAAAGAAATCTGATTGTCTAGTGTACTTTTGTTTTTTAAATAAAAAAACCCATAGGCAGGCACCCCATTCATCTATAACCTTAAAATCTATTTTTAATCTACACCATAAAAAGGGATACAAAGCATTTCTATAGTTCTGTAAGAATTTATTTTTTAAATAAATCTAAATGAGCCCATATTGAGTTCACCTTTTTCATTTTAAAAAGTACTGATGCTGTTAGCTATTGATACAAAATGAAATACCCTGGAAATCAAAAGCCCCGAGCAGGTCTTTACATCAGAGTTACTAGTTTTGTACTCAAGGTATCTTTGCAGATCACTACTTCCTTAGCTTTTCCTAGTGTTCTATTAAATGCTTGTCGCTGATTAGGAATAAGATGTAATAAACATGGCAAGACTTCTTCAGGCCCAACCACAGCTTCCATTTGTTCACAAGTGAAAATTGTCAACTTTACCTTCTCGTTCCTTCCATGTTGCAATTCAAAATTTCTGTAAGATTTAGCCATAAGTATCTACAGTCTCCATAAACAAATGGTGCCCACAGGGTACCAGCTGAGATCCTGGTCAGTTAACATCGGTATTAGAAAAAAAAAAAAAATTGACCTTTCCCTGGAGTGACTAACTCCTTGTGAATGCAAAAAGTAAAACAGGCAAAAATGAAATTGTATTAATTTAATAAATTACATTAAAATTTAAAAACAATTAGATTTACCTGTGCCATGGTTTAAACCTCTTGTGTGTTGAAACACCAGAGGAGAGCTGGAGCCATTTAAACTTTCTGTTGAGTAGAAGTTGATCATCATATCAGAAAGCTAAGTTTAGTGTCTTTCTTCAGGGAAAAACAGAATTAGGTTAACTAGATAAAAAATTGATGAAATTGATGATTCAACTCCATTTCCATAGGAGCTAAAGCTATAATGTGATTTAATATTGCTGACTATATAAAAGGGAAAGTAAAGTGCTCTGAGATGTATCCTCACCAGGGCACTGTTTAGAATAGGGGAGTTGTCCACAATACCAAAAAAAAATAAAAATGAATATGTGAAGCTGTACCAGTCTTATTGTCACTCAATATATGCATAGGTGTAGTTAAGGAGATGTTTACACTAAGACTCTGTGTACTTGGTATGATTTCATGTCTGTTAGTAGTCTGATCATATTTTCTGATGATCATCATTTTCTCAATCTGGCTTCTCTTTTGGAATCTAGTTTATGTTTTAAACTAGATTTAAATAACATTTTAAGCAGATATTTATTTTATACATTTTGATTTGTTTTGACACAACCTTTACTTATTTTTGCCCTTGTCCTTAGCTAATGATTCTTGGGTTTGTACAAGAATTCTCACAGTGTAGGAGTAGCAGAATGGATTTTAGATCAGGAAGCCGTGAATGTATAAATACCTTCTGAAGTATTTTTCTTTTTGAGAATACATGTTAAGTGATTATAGAGAAAGTGGAAAGGCCAATGGACAAAGACATGCATTAAGAAATATTCAGTCTTGTAAAAATACCTTCAGATACTCAAATAAAGATATGCCCAGTTACAAAGGTTACCAGGAAGTAAAAATAAGAATTTTGAGTTGTCCTTGCCTTTAAATAGAGTTTTTCTTTGAGCAAAGGTTTCATGGTAAGAGGACCAATTGACAAGGAATCAGACACCTAGTATGTGGTTTGGGAAATCACTTAAACTTTTCTCTACTCTCAAGCCAGATAGAGTTCTTTGTCATCTGTAAAGCATTGTGGTAAGGGAAGTAACTGGTATGTGGTCTCTGAAGACTTTGTGTTACTCTGATCTGCAAATGAACAAGCAGATGTGGTTCTTAGAGAGGTAGGTGGCACTCATCGACATAAGCGAGCCCTGCACATATTGGTTAAGCTGGTGAAAGAATGGATGAACATAAAAGTTTGCTTTGACACTAAATGCAAGACTATATTAAATAGGTAGCCAGTTATCAGATTTATATTAATTATATAATAGTTCAGAAATGCCAAATTGGGCATAACTTTCAAAATATTGGAGAAGCCAGACAAATAATCCTGTGAAGATATCTAATAAGTTTTTCCTCTGAGAACATGTTCTTATGGTTTTCATTATAGGAAGGAATTTATGATAGGTTTAATTGCAAGTCTGATGGAAAGATAAGAAACAAGCCTGTTTTCCACCCTCCCCCCCTTTTTTTGTCTACAAATGGCTTAAGGAATATAAAAGCTCCATTCTGGGGCAGAGTGGAATACACGAATGCCATCACTTTGAAACCTGCCAGGTCATCTTGTGAAGGGTAGAACCATGGAGCCTCAGAGCCAGGGAGAGTTCTTATACATCCTGTAGTTAGAAGGATGTCTACTGGTTGGTCCTCTTCTTTAAAGTCTTCATGGAAGAAGGCCTCCATGATTTTTTTAGCTGATGCTATTGCATATATGTTAGCATAATGGCTTTAGGACTTAGCAGCTGCACACTTTATAACAAGATTTATAAGTTTGAGTTTCAGTTTTCAAGAAGGTTGGCAAATAGCAATAGAATAGGAAAACATCAGTTGAACTTGGATTTATAAGACATCTATATTCAGCCTAAATATTATCTTTCTTTGTCTGAAATGAACACACATCATTATGATTGAGGTGAAATAGAATGAATAATTAGATCATGTGTTACTGATCTATGCCTTCAGCAGAAGTGCCCTTCCCCATTTCTTTTCTCTCTCACCTATTTTAGCCACTTGTTTTCTGCTTGGAAACCTCCCTCCTTTTTTTTTTTTTTTTTTTTTTTTAGCCTTTCTTGGTTTGTTTTTATATTATTATTTTAATGATAGTCATACATCTGTCAGTGTGACATGGGACACATTACACAATATTTTTAGAAATAGTAAAGTAATCATTTCAATGACAATCAGTTCAGACACTGACAAAGCACTAGAAAAATGCCTCTTCAGGATTAAGGTTAAGATTTAATTAAAACATTTTTTCACTGTGTCCTCATTTTGAAAAGGTGCAAGAATTATTAAATTAAATACTATGGTTCAATGGACACTTTTAGGAAAGATCAGACTTCCATCACAATTCTTTTTTGAGTAAAAATAACTTACTTAAATAAGCTTTTGGTTTTTTTTTTTTTTTTGGTCATTATTTTAAAAATTCATTCACATGTCTAAGATATTTACATATGACATGGTAAATATGATGTACTTTTCCTATTATGAAACTTAGCACTTGTCAGATCACCTAAGGTGATATTCAAGTCACTGCTAGATTCAAAAATTCTATGAAAGCACCAACATTTAGGAATAAAGCACAAAGTCTAGAAAAATAAGTTTAATTTAAAGAGATCATTAAGTTGGTCATTTAACAAATGATGAAATGTTATTTTCTTGATCACGGGGACCTAATATTCTCTATCTTCACTAAAGGCTAAACAAGAAGATGTAGATTTGTTATAATATATAATGGATATTTAAAAAGGGTCCATTTCTAGACCGTGAAAGGTGTTCAATTTTATGCTTGAGTTCAACAAAATTAATAATCATTAACATGTTTATGTATTTACTATGTGAAGAAAGTTACATATATTACTAAGGGAATTTTAAGAATGCAAAGTAGTTTCTGTATTTTGAAATAGCTAAGAATATGACCTGCCCGGGGTGGAAAAACAAACTGTCCCAGAAATTCATTGAAATTAAACTCCCTTCCAGCACTTTGACTGAAAAGCACAATTTACGATATGGTTAGCCTATAAGATTTTTGTACACTGCAAAATAAGAATATGTACTGCACAGAAATTACTGAAGGAGTGATAAAACACGCTCAGTTAAAAAAATAAAACCAGGGTCCCATCCATTGTTGGAGGTAATCCATTTACTCCTGTGCTATCAGCTAAGGAGGACTTGTAATGTCTAAATGCCAGGAGAAGATAATTGGGGGGAATTAAGGGGAGAGGTCAAGTGTAGTTGGAACTTGTTTTTATTTAATTTGAATTTAGTGAGCTACATCTCATCAGCTTAGAAAGATTATCATTAAAGGTAATAATGACAAACATGAGTTGTTAAGGATAAAGGTTATTATTGGAAATGTGATGTGATAGTTTCTGGAATTCCTTTATAAATAGTAATATGATTCAAAGGGCAACATAGAGAACTTTGATTTTATTGAGAGAATTTTTCAAACATTGATAGACAATTTTACTGATGCATAGCAAGAAAGAAAACATAATTGCAGAAATTAAAGATCTCTTGCATAAGAAGATATATTATTTGTCTTATATTATTAACACTATAAATGTGGAAGAATTGTATAATATTTTCAATAAAATTAATGTTTCATAATGTACTGGGAAACAGGAAGATTACAGTTATGACCTGAAGCCACTTAAAGGGTTAAAAATATTTTGCAGGATTATGTATCAAAGAATTATAGATAAAATTAGCCTTATAAATTTAATGAGGAAGTCTTTCTTTCAAAGGGAGGAGTAGATTTAATTTCACAAATTAATCTATCTACTTTATGTCAGGAAATCTTTAGATTTGTAGAGATGTATGAATACATATATAGGATTGAAATAAAATGAGTGAGGATATTTGGTACTTCAGAAGAGTGAATGACCAAGTACTTCAAACATTTGAAACAGTGTTTGCATAAGGAAGCAAACATCTGAAAGTGGTATGTTTTGGATAGAATTTAGCATCAGCAAGTAATCATGACTAGCATGGCAACTAAGGAATAACCAAATGAGAAAAGGAGTTAGCAAATGTGTAGCATTGTTGGAGACCTTTTTCAGAACAGCTCTGTTTGAAATTCTCCATCCAACACTAGTTCGTGCCCTCCAACAATAGTACTGAATGGAACTGAATCAAGTGTTTTATTCAGTTGGCTGCTCGTGGGCCAGGCACTGGCAAATGATTAGATTTAAAACAATGATTAGATTAACTGCTGAAGAAGGGAGCTGATTAGGTAGTCCGATCTAAAGTTTTTTTTACCCTATCCTTCAGACAGAGGAAGTAAAAAGAATCTGTTCCAGTCTTCGTTAATTAATCACCAGAGCGAGTAGAGTTGATAACAGGGCAGATTCCCCCCTGTTGCATTCCTACAGTGGAGATAGAGAACCGAGATCACCCACAACCACCTACAATTATTCTCCCATCATTTCATCAAGATTCGGTTACTTTTCAACCCTTTTTTCCTCTTGCTAAATTATTTGCCTTTACATATTCTACTGTGCAGTTATAGAAATATGTTTAACTCTTATTCAACTTATTCATATTTTTGAATCTTATTCAACTTATTCATATTTTTGTGCAATCAACAGTGAAGTTCCAAATCGAGCAGAGACCTTGAATAAGAGTTTATTTGTATTAAGTTATAGAATATAGCTTAGAAATCCATCAGTTTTTTTTAAAGATCAATCAAGGGTACTTTATATAATGTTTAGAAATCATGAATAGTTTATTCACCACGGTGAAAAAAACAAGGATGCCTTATCCAGGCAAGGACTATCTGTCCAACAGGGCTCCTTTGGCACCATTTTTTTTTTTTTAAAGACAAAAGCTTCAGCGAACACCCCAACTATAGCGAATTGACAATAAAAAACTTCATCTTTCTATATTTTCCCCCTAATGCAAAGCATTATTCATTCAGGCTGTAAAGGCTTCAGCGACTGCATTTCTGATCTCTAGGACTTGAACTTGTCACATGTATGAATAATCTCGTGTATTGTTATGGATTTGACTCATGTAGATCATTATCCCTCCCTCTTTTCCCCCCTGAAATAATATTTGTATATGTCTGTGTTCATGTGTGTGTGTCTTGTTTTCTGACTCTGAAATGTTTATTATGCCTTAGACAGTTGCCCCAGGGAGATTATGTAAAAAAGCCTGGAGATGGCGACTCTTTTTATAGCGACATTCCTCCTGGAGTCAGCACAAACTCAGCATCTAGTTCTAAGAAGAGGTCTGCTTTTCTGTCGCATTTTCAGATTTCTACCTGTTCCATCACACATTATTCCATTAGTCAGAACATTTCATTATTTTGCAGCAGGTTTGATTACTTCTTCCTTCTTTCTTGAATGTTAAAGAAATATATAGTATCCTTTGTTCTTTGATTACTCTGATTCAAAATGTCATATGCTCAGAACCACTTGTTTAACAAATCAGACCAGAAATCCAAACAAAACAAAACAAATAATGTTAAATCTACATAAAAACCCTACAGCTTTTCAGTCTTGCTCTTTATAGGGCTTAAGAAATGATACTTAGTATTCTACTGTATTTTAAATGGTGAGCATTATGTCATGTTTGGTAGTCAAAGAAAAAGGTTACTATCATGCTTCAATAAAGCAGCTGTTAAAATAAGTTGGTAATATGAATGCTGTGTTGACTATTATTTTTAATTGTAAATATATCAAAGCTAAGCTTGCTGTGAAAAAAAAAAGACTGCTTCTCTGTGAATCATATATTTGAATATTATGATTTTGCCTTTTATGTCTGGAATGATTATTTCTAGACTTTATGACTTAGAGCTTGGTTGCCAGTTAAATTTAAGTATATTTAATGCTTTAAGTCCTTTAATATTGTGGATGGGGTTAAGGTATTTTTTATATGTCTTAAACTTTGATGCTATATTTTTGCTTCAGGAATGTAAGGTGTATGACATCATTTAGAATTCTGCATGCTTTATAATTGCTTAATAAAATAAACTGATAGCAAAAATAAATAGGTGGGATGTTTTAGGAAAGAAGACGTTCAATGAAAGACGTTAAAATCTTCCTATGGAGATTTTTTAAAAATTGTTTGTAGGGGTATAATATATATATAAAAAAAAAGATTGATAGCCCCGATTATTACTTTGGGCATAGTAGTATCTTTGTAGATTGAGAGGTAAATTGCTAGTTTATTGAAAAGAAGCATGATTTCTCTTGGAGTTCCAAAGAGAGTGAATCATCTGTAAAAGGTCTGCAGTGGATTTCACTCTTTATAAATAATTGGGAAATACAGTCGAAGCTATTGGGGAGATCGGGGAACTCCACCTTGTGTGGAACTACCTTAAGCGTCAAAGGGTGTTTTTACTAAGATAGCACAGCTTAAAACAGAAGTAAAAATACTGTTGTTTTTTTCACAAGTACATTTCTACGGAAGGATGTTAAATATTTATTCTTTTAATTTATTGGGGGCTTTCTGAGTAAGAGAATAAGATTTACTTAAATTCTCTTAGCATGTAAACTTCTTTTCTCAGTCAAATATTTAATGTTAAAGTAAGTAATATGGTAAATAAGTGGAGAAATCAATGGGTCCCAGTAGAATTTCTGTTGTCCTGTACAAAAGGGGCATCGTTCTTCATCAGCAAATGATGTTGAAAAGTTTCAATCTAGGGAATGCATATATAATAATTGTGTTGATTTATCTTTATTCATTGGAAGAAAGTAACTTATAAAATAGGCATTATTAGCATTAACTGGAATACTATGTGGAAAAGATTTTAAGTATCATGCTATTTTCTGTGGTAGCTCAAGAAGGGTTTGAAGTATTGACTTGAATCATTCCCAAATTTTAGCAAAATCTCAAGGGGTTATGACTTCTAAGCAGTTAAAAATAGTATCAGATGATGTGACTTCTCCTAAGTATGTGTAGTTTGTTAAAATACTTTTCTTGTGTGGTTCAAGGTAGGTGTGGACATTTTGCTTCTTGTAGACAATTCATTTAAATAGCAGAGGGCTTCACGGTGCATGGGCTTTGTGAGAGCTACTCCCACAACAAATATATGACTCAGCTCACTTACTGGGCAGTTAACTAATAGTTAACACTCATTGGACAGTTAACTACATGTTAGGGTGCCATATATGTGGAGAAAGTGCCAATTCTCAGAAAATAATTTTTATTTATTTATTTATTTTTTTAACTTATTACTCTAATAAAGTCTAGCCAGGTTAAATAGAACAAATCTTAACGAAATCTCTTGGAAGTCCATGTTCTCATAATATTTGAATGGAAACCATTGCTTTACAATTAAGAAACATCTATGGTGGGACCCCATTACAACTCTGCTACTTTGGGTTGTATAACCAAAATATGTAGTGAATTTGTTCTACGTAGTGCTTGTGGTCTGGGGAATGTAATTGACTTGCGTTGTATCCTGATGCTTTTCAGTGATAAACTGTTGTAATGGGGTTCCATTGTATTTGACTTTTCTTAAGTTGAATGTTGTGTAATTTTTGCCTTTTTCATGAAGATGTTCATGTTCTATTCATTCTTTCATTTTAGATTTTTTTTCTTTCTTGATTTAAAGCAAGAAGTTTTGCTTAATGATTTCTAAACATTCATTTGATTATATTTTTGCACAACATATACCCACTTTCAATTTCAGGTCAAATGGACTCTCTCATTCTTGGAGTGAAAGGATCCCAGACACAAAGCATATTTCAGACATCTGTGAGAATGGGCGACCTCGAAGTAACTCTTGGCAAGGTACAGGGTGGCATTCTGAACCCATCTGTCCACCTCACCCACATTCTATCTTCTGTGGCTCCTGGTTGTAAAGACTTGTTCTTTCTTGTAAGCTCTTTAGCTCTTCTCTTGGTAGAGAAAGGGCATTGATTATAAGTTCAATTCCTTTTTTTTCTTGGATGGGAAATGGGAGGATTTGAAAGCACTAGTGCACTAGACACCTTGGGATGGTTGACCAGAGTTGTAAAGTCCTGTGCTCTGGGCAATGCTGATGGTAAATGACACTTGAAATACAATATAGTTAAACGTATGGTGGTTTTTTATTATTTGTATTCAAATCTAGCTGTAAACTATCTTTTTATTTTTTCTTTCTTTTTTTCTTTTTTTTAGGTAATGTGGGAGGCAACAGAAAGAAAATCAGAGGCAAAAGATTTAGACCTCGGTCTAACTCCACTGAGTAAGTCTGCACATCTCCTGGAAAAAGGCTGTCACCCAAGGTCCTGTGCAGTTAGTGTGGAATGTTAATTCACCAGTTCGGCAGAGAACCGAAAACCAGGCCTCTGGTCTTGGTTTTGTCTCTTCAATTCCTTTTTTTCTTGCCATTTTAAAATTAACCATGGCTTTTCTCTCTCACATAGGCATCTCCGCAACGGTGCCCAAAGCAATACTCACTGACAGTGTGGGGCCTGGCCCTCGCTGCAGGCTTTTTCTCCGTTCCCTGCCATTGCGGTGTCTTGGTTGCATTTGAAGGGAATTTTGATAACATTCCTTTCTTCTCATCCCCTGGGGGTCTAACCATTTCAGAGGGGTCACCCTTCCTCTCCCCAATAGTCACACAGGCTAGAAGCATTGGGGAAATCCCCACCGTCCTAGAGCATGACACTGCTCACTGGGTGACTAATGCCACCTCTCCCAGGCTTCCTGGCTGCTCTCTAAGCATTCTCTCAGACGAATGGGATTCCTTTCCCTTTCACACTTTTTCTTCCCTGGACATGTATAAGGGCATTTACCCAAACTTGCTCTTTAACGGAATCATTGCCACCAAAGGCAACACTATCCATTTTGAAGAATAGCCACGTTTTTTTTTTTTTTTTTTTCAAACTGGGAATGGGATCTGAAGTTACATCTAAGTCATTCATAATGAGTTAAACAGATTTTTTTTGTGTGTGTTTGCTTGTTTTTCCACTGAATAAAGCACAAGCAAAACTAAGCTTTCCTAAGCCCCATGGAATTAAACACATCCTGGCTCTGCTTTTGGATCTTGTCACCTGGTTTTAATAAACCATGTTTTGTTTTGTTTTGTTTTTTTATCCATTTAAAACTTTTTTTTTTTTTTTTTTTACTGATATCTCAATTCAGTGCTAGTTATTCCTTCCAAGATCTCTGTTGCTTCTTTATGACTTCAATATTTTTAAAAAAACTGAATAGCAGGCTTTGGTTAACTGCTTCTCAGAAACTTATGTTAGCTTTTCCATCGTATACCCTTTTTCAGTCCAGGACAATAACATTGCCCTGAAATTTGGACCTTCCTGCTGATGGTATTGTCTTGTAAGTGGCTTGTTAAAGTTTACTAGAGGATATTTTACCATAGAAACAATAGATAGGTTCAAGCGATACCATTGCATGGTCCAGAATGGCATCATAGAACTCCATCAGAAATAACTAATCTGTTAGAGTTTATCTTCTACATCCCCAAAGTGCTTGGATGCTTTAGGACTCATTGTGGATAAACTCTTCCTGGAATGTTGTTTGATTTATTTTGCATGAGGTCACCTGGTAAAGAGCTCCTTAACTGATCCCAGTGGCTCGCAGAAATATAGATAAAATTGCAAAATGTTCTTCAGAACTTCCTACTGTTTAGTTTTCTAACAATATCTCATATAACGATGCTTTGAAAACTCAAGTGACTAAGAAAAAAAGATCCGACATTATGTTAAAACTATAAGTTGAAAACCCAAAGAATACTTGGTATTGAGCAAAATTCATAACAGTGTTTTTTAAAGTGATCACTTATCTTTACAATTTTTTTTCTGTAAAATTCCCACTCGCATCATATGATAAATACTGTACTGCTAGCTTGCCCTTGAGCAATCTTGCCTGTGAGATAATTCAGTTATAAAATATTTAATAAAAGATCATAATGGAATTATCTTTATGAAGAAGAAATATAAAGGATTTCCTCAGATTTTTTAGACTTTTCAGATTTGGGTTACGTGTCTCATGCTACCTAAATGGAACCAAGTCTGTGAAGCTGACCACACACCTTATTGTACAGCCAGTATACTGCAAACATATTTTTTCTTAGAAGGAATACTAATATGTAGCATATCAAGCATTATATTGACAAGTTTTTTTTAATACTTTCCATATTTTTTAAATAATCCCATTTGCCTCTGATATAACAACATCATTTGTGAGACCATATGAGCAGCAGAATGACCATGGGAAAAATACATCTTTTTAATTTTTTTTAAACTAAGAGGTATTATTTCAACATTCCTTTTAGTATCTCATCATCCCAAAGGATGATGGAACATTGGGCCATGAATTAAGACATGCACTACAAATGCATATTCTGCTAATTAACAACACAAGATATCCTCGTTTAATGTATTATTTCCCCCCTGAAAGCTTTTGCATCTTCCTCACTGTGGTATGTGATGTTAAACAAGTTTTTGGCTTAGACTTTGTATTATATATTGTGTTTTTACAGGAGGGAGCCCCAAGCACCTGAGCCTGGGCACTCCCTCGCCCAGACAGTCCCATCCCAAGGCATAAGCCCAGGGGGCTCTGACAGCCCCCAGACAGGGAGTCTGGATCACAGGTCAGTCTCCGCCTGCCCCTTCATTCTGGGCTGCCACTTAATCCCCCTCCAAGTCCCTTCCTTGGCTGAGAACAGGGTCATTTAGTTTCTGGCTGACCCCTGGCGTCTGCTCAGAAGTGGTCCTGGTCCAGCCAGCACCAGCTAGTTTTCCTCTGCCTCTCTCCTGGAGAGCACACATGGCAGCTCTCCTATCCTGTCTAATGCATTTTTATTTTATTTTTTATTTTTTGCATGTTGCGCTACAAGCCAAGTCAAGGCACATAGGCAGGTTTAGAGCAGTTTGATAAAACCCAACACTCCAGCCACCATAACCTAGAGTGTTAGGAAGGCCGCTGTGATGACAGGTTCACAGCAGCTTCCCGGAAGGAGCAACAATGGAGAGCTCTCTCCAGTGGTCACACCCATCGGAGATGCTCCCTTAAAAGAAGGAAAAGGCCCATCAGGGGCAAGTGAAGCCGCCGTATGGCTGCAGGTTTCATGGAGTAGCCATGGTACCGGTTCCTCTGAGCGTCTAAGATTGTCAGTGAAAGGAACACATGTCTCTTAGATATGGCCACCTGCCTGTGGGCGATCCAGTTTGCTGTGTGGCTTCGTGTCACCTGATAACAAGCGCTGCATGGGCTTTCCCACAGTGTTCCCCAGGTCCGAGCATTCACCAGTCCTCATCTGTGGCTGCACTTGCTTTTTGATTATTTTTCTTTTTTGTTCGGAGTCTCCGTGGAAATCTCTATGCAAGTTTCAATGGCTATCTCTGTGAAAAGCACAAGTTGGCAATGATTGTGGCTAAAGGCAAAATGAGTGTGAGTTGTTCCAGAATCAAGGGACACTATCTTAGCAAAAAATGATCGTATAAGCATAGAAAGCACCCGACCCTTCTCTAAGAAGGGAACTTCATGAACTGTTTTATAGCATACTTTGGGTATAGCCAAAAACAAGGGAAATGGCTATGGAAAAAAATAATCTAATTTGTTTATGTAACTATGAAATAGAGTCTTGACTTAAATGTATTTGCATTTAAATGCTTAAAATGTATTTACAAACTAAAACTAAATATGGAGAAAAAGAAGCAAACTGGAGCCACAAAAAATATATTTTATCATTTCCCCTGGTTTGTTTCTAAATAACCTTAAAAGTTTTACAGAGCTTGATCTTCATTGCCTAGTGTGTTTCTAGAAGGTACTTTTTAAAATGAGAAAACTCAGTAAAATCTCCAAATTCGTCCAAGGCTGAATTTGTTGAATTTAGATCTATTTTAAGAGGGCAAGTTCTAAGGGAACATGCTTTTGCTTGCCCCTCCCCATTCCCAACCCCTCCCCCAGGGTAAAAAAATAAAAGAAAACTGAAAAGAAAACAAAACTTGCCCTCCCAATTTTGATACCTTTAAGATTTTCCTTTGTGGTTAATTCTGATGGAGACTTTGCCAGATCCACCTGGGAAATGCTAACTTCGGCAATTATTATCCGCTGTCAATCACTCCCATGGTGCTCACACACTCAGAAGGTAACCTGTGAGGGCCATTTCATAATGGAAAATGAACACTTTAGTCTGGAGTGCAAGCGGACGAGGAAGGACCGTGACAGCTGCATCTCCAGTACTAAACTCAGCTTCAAGGTCCGGAGGCCTGTGGGGACCACAATGAATGTGTGTTGGGGCTCCAGAATCAGAAGAGTGAGACCTTTTCTGCTCTTTCTAGAGCTGATTGGAGCGCCTTTCTTGTTAATTAATTCCAATTTGGGATCTGCTGTTAGGAGAAAGACAGAGGCCCTTTAAAGTCTTTCCTTTCATCTTGGAAAGAGAACTTGGCTCCTTCTCATGGTTCTTGGGGTGATATACCCAAACACCAGGCTGGAATGGCAGCCCTCAGGGTCCTCAGAAAGTGCCATTACCATTGGAAAATCAAGGAGCTCCATGAGAGGTGGCCTGGAAATTTCCACTTTGGAGGTGGGTGAATGGGATTACTCACAGCGCTGTTATCTCTGTGATCGAAAGAGCTTCTGAGTCACTTTGGGAAACCACTGGGAATGTGAATCCGTTCTAGAATGCCCTGAGCCCTGTGGTAGCTGAGTTTATGCTCATGTGATTGTACAGACTGCCTCATAACCACCCAACATCCATCCTGGTTGATTTGCCATGGTCACTTGCATTTGGAGGGTGAAGAACATCCTTGCTAAGCTTGTGCTGTGTGTTTTCAGATTTTTCTATCTTGTTCTGCTTTCTTTGTTCCTTCCATTGCTTTCTGCAGGTATTTAAGCCCATGGTTCAAAAGAGACTATAATGTAGCTAAGTGGGTAGAAGATGTGAATAAAAACACTGAAGGACCATACTTTAGGTATTTTATAAATTAATTTTATATCCTTTTCAAACTCTCCCAGCACATACAAACACTGTAGTGTGACTGGCTCTCCATCTTGTATCTCCCAATACAAGTCCCCAGAGGTGGAGAGGGTCCTGGTTTCTTTGCTGCCTCTTGACCTCTTGTTTTGGGATTCATGAGCAAGTCTGGCTCTTTTCTGAATGTTTCAAATGAAGCCATTTGAAAGGGTTGCCACCTAGTGCATGTCCCTATTACCATCTCGAGCTTTCTAGTAGCTTTCTTTTCATTTTATGCTATGTAGTGTTCTCTGGGCATGAAA